GGAGTTGCTCAAGAAGAAGCACATTAAGGTCCTGGAGTGGCCTAGCCAGTCTCCAGACCTTAATCCCATAGAAAATCTGTGGAGGGAGCTGAAGGTTCGAGTTGCCAAACGTCAGCCTCGAAACCTTAATGACTTGGAGAAGATCTGCAAAGAGGAGTGGGACAAAATCCCTCCTGAGATGTGTGCAAACCTGGTGGCCAACTACAAGAAACGTCTGACCTCTGTGATTGCTAACAAGGGTTTTGCCACAAAGTACTAAGTCATGTTTTGCAGAGGGGTCAAATACTTTTTTCCCTCATTAAAATGCAAATCAATTTATAACATTTTTGACGTGCGTTTTTCTGGATTTTTTGGTTGTTATTCTGTCTCTCACTGTTCAAATAAACCTACCATTAAAATTATAGACTGATCATTTCTTTGTCAGTGGGCAAACGTACAAAATCAGCAGGGGATCAAATACTTTTTTCCCCTCACTGTACTTACCTATACTAAGCTAAACGATGCTTAAAGGACAAAGTCTGAGATATGTTTGACCTTTGTTTAACCTCGGGCAAAAGGAATATACAAAGTGATAAATGAAAGGAAGAGCAATGCATCCTGGCAGATTCATCCCCCACGTGCCAGTGATGTTTTTTTGTAAAAGCCAAAAAACATATTACATTTGTATGTTTTGAGGTTTCACTCAAACCCAGGGAATATATTTCATTTCCTCTGGGATTGCAACCGTTGGGATTACAGTCGAGCCATTGCCTTGGAAAAGCAGATAATAAAGTGGTGCTTTGCAGTGCATATTAAAACATCAACATCATTTCCTGTAAAAGGAAACACCAATGTAAAATATTACACGGCTAATGTGCTCAAAATATTTATTTCGTATCGCCTAGATTCCAACAAAATTATAACATGTACATAGGACTTATTAAGTTGCTGAATAACAATTGCGTTACCATTTGTTCTTATATTGCAGTTCATTAGCATTTTAGGCGGGAAAAGGAATATAAAATGAGCTTAGATTGCCTTTGACCCTTAACACCGATTTAACACGCCACGTTCCATTAAGCTATGAAAATGTGCTTAATGCTGCTGCTGTAGGATGTCCAACCCCAGACAATAATAATTACATTTTTATAATTATGGCGACTAAAGAAAAACACAGTTGTCACTTTGGAATGGTGAAGCTTTCATTTAATACTACTTCACAGTTTGAATGGTCTAATTTCTGAAGGAAAATTGGAACCAATGTTTAAAAAAAGCCTTTGTCAGAACAACACAACGGGAAAATACACTTTATCATCCTTGAAATATGTACTTATTTCACGGAAACATATGGCATGGATGTCAAATTATGAAAACGATGCAGCCAATTCATATTTGCAACTCAATTTTCTTCATGGTGCTATCACGAATCAACTACGCCACCTCTGCGTCAGAGTAATTATTTTACATCCAACATCTTATGAGCTCATTAAAATATTTCCCTGTCAGTGTGAATTGATTACACTCATCGTATTTTGTTTGTTAGTCAATTCAAGACAGAATTCTTTTTGTGAAATCGTTTTTTTCAAAGGGTCACAAGAGGCCAGTTCATAAAAATAGGTAATCTCACATTTCAAAAAACCCCATAATCCTTGTTGGGTCACATTTTGAAGGTAATCATCTAGTTTTAGAAAATATGGCTGACTTGTGGAATGTAAGTGGTGTTAGACCCAGTACTGAATATACAACTAAAAGTATTGAGCCTTTTTCCTTGCAAATATTTTTTTTTAAATTCTGAATTAGACCTATTTAGTTGTCATACTCTGAAGAGTACCAGTACTTACCCACATTTAAAGTGTCTGAAATGTACCTCTTAAATCGTTGACATTCCCAAGGACATTTCACAAACCTGCACGTGTATTCATTTATTATCCTGTGCAGAAGTAGATCCAGAATTGTATTTGTATATATCTCTTTAATACCCTAGAAATACAAAGTTGACGTAAATTTTCCAAGAATTAGCACCTAAAAGAAAGGTTAATAAATTCACACTGAAAAAATATAAACTAAGATTGCCTTGATCTGGCTCTCAGACCCACAACGTAACATTATTCACCCTTGTTTTTCAACTGCGTTCGTGGTTCCCCATGTTTGAATAAAAGCAGGCAATACTGTCGTTTAGTAAAGTGCAGGACTATTGCACACAGTATAATCTTTTTTACGTTTTTGTTCACAACAAAGTACTGCAGTTAGGTAACGAACATTTATCTGCATGCACTGTTAACGGAAATTGATTTACGCCATCCCAAGACCGCGTTTACTCAGCAATGGATGCATTCTTCTCAGCAAATCAGCCTCGTAACACATTGCTCATAACGCCTAATTATCTCATAGAAACTTAGCATTTCATGGACCATAATTTTTCAGAGCCTTTATCGCCTTTTTCATATTTAGACCTTTGGTAAGCACAATCGTCGTCTTAAAAAAAGCACATTTTTAGACATTGAATAGTGATTTTGCAAGTTAAAAAAATGTTAAAGTTTTGTTTCTAGACTTTGCAGGTAGCAGTAGTTTGCGCACATTACATATAGACGAATTGCAATGCGGTGCCACCACCCCTCCCCCCAGTTGCACAATGACCACATGATACTACTCACTCGCGACTACACACTTTACCTGTTCACACGGGTATACTTCCGTTATAGAGTAGAGCTGTGATGTTATTACGTCCGTAGTATAAAAAACAACCCACACACAAATGCCACGCACACATATACATACACACGGCACACTGTATGCAGGCACACAAGCTGGCCCTGAACCACAGTACAAACAGTAAAAGCGACAGAGCTCCCATTGACTTAACAGTGCAATTCACATGCAAATCACAGCAAACGCATGCACGTTCAGCACCACGGGTAGGAAACGGAAAGGTGACATAAATCCCCTCCCCCGCCCAAGCATGCACACAATAAAAATGTGCAATTAAATATGAAGAAAGCATCATAATGAACGTGGAGGGGAGGGGGGAGCTGTCAATATTGAGAATTATAATAATGCAATACAGACTGGAGTAACAAAATCCACAGAAGCAAGAAAGGACCAAAAGTGGCCCACAAAAGGACGCAAATGGCAATGCAAAAAAAAACCCAAAAGAAAAAGATTAAAAAGGGCAGACAATTACCGGCATATTAAACAAGGCTGGCAGCGTGTAGGAGGAATTAGCGTAAGCCATTGCTTCCAGAGCCCGGTTGGTCATGGGCCCCGTGTGGTGGTGAGGTCTACTCAGGGCCATGGGCCACGCCATGGGCCCCTGGCCAGAGAGGGCCGGCCCTGGTGACCCCGACCTCCACTCCAACGTTGTAGCTGCTGCCGTTTCTGTTGCTGCTGTTGTTGATATTTCTCCTGGATGCTGTTCCCGTCCGTCAACCCTGTCACGTCAGTCTATCTTGTCTGTTTGTGGAATTGTGGCGGCGGCGGCGGTGGTGGGTGCCGTTAAGTTTTACACGTACGGTCTTTTTGAAAGGTTCACCGCTATCACTATGAGCACCATCGTCGCCATCAGAGAAGCAGCATCACACGTGGGTGAATGGGGAGGGATGGGAAGGGGGGAGGGGTGATGAACGAGCAAGGAAGGTCGCGCGTTTTGCAAAACGGCAATAGCTTCGACTTTGCGAAACTCCAAAATGAAACAGGGGGGTGGTAGAAGAGGGAACACTTTAGGGCAGAGGATCGCAACACCCAGCGTGTACGGGGAAATGCATATACCGATAAACACCGAGCAAGCACAACGCTGGGATATTCACAGGTACAACAAAAGTGCCCTTCCACCCCTTGCGAGATGTCACGATGCCAATGTTAAGCGCTGCACCGCGTGCGCGGCTCCCAATGAACGCACATCCATCACATCATCATCACACATTGCATCGTGCATCACAGCGATCACACATCACCCATACACGACCACGCAGCAGCAGCAGCAGCGGCGCTTTAAATGCAACACAGAGCAGCGACGGAATTACAAGAACAAAAATGAAGATAATGGATGGGAAAATACACACTCACCTCGGGGTTTTTTTTTTTGGTAAAAACGGGGTTTTGTTTTTTTTTAAAGGTAGGTTTTAGGAAGGAGGTTGATGCACGGGGGAGTGAAGACAAAAAGGAGAGGGGGGTGGGGTGGTGGGTTCTGGCTGGGGATGACTGCGCGAGGACAGGGTTCTCGGGGAGCCAAGGAGCAGCAGCAGCAGGAGGAGGTGGTGGTGGAAGAAGAGCAGCGGGTTTTGGAAGGTGCTGTCTAGTTTAGACCCTGAGCGCAATTCTCACTAGCAAAGAAACCCTTCCCCCCCGCCCGCCCGCTCACTCTCTATATATAATAGCCTGGCCGATATATTTTTTTTTGGGACAAAACTCACAACCACCAGCCCAGCCAAAACGCGAGCCCCGTCCAACGCGAGCGCCGCCCTAACAACGACAACACGCGAGTCGCAGGGAGTACGCGCCGCTCGCTACTCGGCGTTGCCTCGGGTGTGGGGGGTGCAACGGGGAGCGAACCACACAGCGCGAAAACGCGATTTATTTTCTCTTCTCTCGCCGCCCCCCACCCCTCCTCTTTGAATTTTGTCCCCACGTGGCGCGCCGTAGTAAAGGGGGGGGGGGCGTGTTCCGTCGCTCCCATTGGGTTGTTACCCAGTTGCCCAGGGCGACGGGTCCCCGTGCACTCCATGGCGCCCCGCCCCCTCCTCTATGTCTACGCCCCCCCCCCGTCCACCTCCTCCTCCCCCACAAAACAAAGACAAAGATCCCTCCCCCCCTATAGCCCACACAGACTGTTGGGGCAAGTGCTGACAGCGAGTTAGCACGAGGTGGGGTGGCTAACAAACCACGCCCGGCCGCCTTTGTCTACCCACAACAGCGGCGATGTTTTTGTTTTTTTTACACCGCACCAGCTACTCATTTGAGGCCGAGTCGACCTAGGTGGGGTTGAGGAGGAGGAGGCGGCGGCCCAGAACCGGTTCAGATAATCTCCATCACCGGTGTTGGTGACCGTGAGCAGGGCATCGAACTCGCCTCTTCGGGTTCGTAGCGCAGCGCGCTAACCGCTGCACCACCACTCCCCACCCCCCCCCCTGACTCCTCGCCCCCTCCCCTTGCCTCTGACCTTTGCACTCGCGGTCCGCACGCGTGACAAGTCGTTCGCGTTGTCCGCCGTCGCTCGCCACCTCTTAAAGCAGCGTGCAGCAGTCTCATTCAATGTTGGGTTTTTTGTTGTTGTTTTGTTTTACCCTTATCGCATCTCTCTCTTATCTTCTGAAAGATGTCCACGCGTGGTGTGCAGGAGGAGGCCCGGGTGGACGCGGCGCTGATTTGTTGACGAGGAAACTGACCCGCAACTTTGCCCGTGCACGCGGCGCCGTAGATGTGTCAAAGTGTGCGCTTGACCGCGCCGCCGTCACCGGTTGTTCCACGTCAGCTCCAGCTTGACCGGTAATTTATGGGGGGGGGGGGGGGGGGGGGGGGTACGGTATTTGTTAAAGCCATATTGTCATTACATTTGCTGGAAGATACAGTTGTAGAGCCCCGAATATCCTGTGACGATATCGCCCGCTTGATCGGTATTTGGAACCACAACGTGAGTTTACCGCAGAAAATTCTCACAGTCTTTTTTTTTTAAAGGAGGGTTCTGACAAGCGTTCGCAGTGCATCGTTCAAACCGCGTGAATGATCAGGGCGGCCGCTGGAATCGAACCGTGAACCTCTGCGGAAATCACTTCGGCTAGGCTATTTCTGCATGCCAGCTCAAAGACCGAGGCTTTGTTAATGGAAAAAAAAATACGCTCAAGGCAGAGTGACGAGCACTCTAGTGATGTCACTTGAGCGTTACTACGGCACTCTTTAAAGTTACCTGCAGGACGATATGAGCGGCTCCTGCCTGTGATGTTAAAGTCTTATTAACGTGACTTTGAACTCGCCGCGTGTCGGCAAGAGCTATTTCCCCTTTGGGTTGCCTCTTTAACGCAAATTGTACACGTGGCTAACACTCTCACAAGTGCAGAAAATTAGAAACTATTTCGAAGTAAGTGCTCCGAAGCTACCACGTTTTTCTAAAGCATCCCCTTCGAAGAGACACATGATTAAATAAGTGACGGCGAATACATTTGGAGTATGCAACTAATGGATTGGACATCTGATGTGTACGTTGGTGCTGTGTTGTGATGTAACAACCGCGATGTTAATGACTGTACTCAAAAATTACTCATTGACAGGTCACACTCCTCCTGCAGCAGCCTGAGAGCGTTTCAGGAATGGACAGTGGTGTGCAAAGCCCTGCTGGAGAATTCTTGGACCTACCCAAGTTTCTGGACAGTGCCAAAGGGTGGTACGGCTATGATGGCCAAATAGAAGCAATAGTGGAGAAGGAATTTAAGAGACTCCAAGGTACTTATTTTGCCAGTGGTTATAGGGTAACTGCATTGTATTCCCATGCATTTACCCAGTGTGATTGTTGTATTTTTACTGGCATGACTCATACAATTATGGACAAATGAATGGAGACCTTTGATCATTAAATAACTTTCACCCACAGCAGAGTTTTCCATTGTTCTGTTCTACGACTCTCACCTAATTGAAATAAAGGTTGCCTTCTCACTTAATAGGGCCATGGGGACTGTATGTATGGCAGTCTATAATGACAATATTAATACTATTTACAGTAAAAAAATATGGAAGTGTCACCCTACTCACCTCAAAGAATGCAACTGTGCTTATCCATCCTTTTTCTGTGACCAGTTATGGAAATTCTACATTTCCATAGTTGGGCACAGTCACTACATAGTACAATTGTTATTGTCGTCCAAATTCGATGATAGGTGGAAATGAGTCAGGAATAGGATTTCATTTGACAACTCTCTGATTGAGTACTGTATAATGCTCTTAACCATAGCACCGATTTATATATAAAAGTGGACTTTTAAAAATATGTATCTTGTAAAAATGTCCATACTTGTCACCATATCTTTATACCAAGACATGTATTTTTTGACATTGACAATGTTATCTTTGGAACTCTTTATGTTATGCAACTGGGCAGCAGGGCATTTTAATATTTGAGACGTTTATCAGCATAGCTTGATGGACAATAATTTACATTTGTTAATTCTGTGTTCATGCTAAAGTTTATTCGTACAGTGGTTGAGTGTTTCCTTTTGTTTGATGTGGTTTATTATACAATTATTTGTGTATGTTTTGCTTTAAAATATTCAAATCCACAATTAATTTTCTAAAGATAAATCATGTCATTGTGTACCTATGCACTAACCAGGTCAGTACGGAGAAAAGATTAATTCACTCTGTGTCACTGGTATTGTCACTCTCTACATTAAATCATAAATATCCTGACAGCTGCACAAAGAATCTGTGGCACCACAGACCTGGGTAATTGTCAGATATGTGTCACATTTGGTCATGAAGGATATTTACAACTTCACCTCAATACCGATATGATTCAGAATGATGGTTCCATTTGGAATCACTAATAAAAACGCACATTTCAGCATATGTGCATTCAAAGGGCTTCTAAACTCAGGAGCAAGAACACTCGCACAATTGCACACCTTCCACTGCTATCCATGCTGTGTCATGTCTTTTGTAAGCTCCATGGCTCATGCTGTGTTGCACTAATCCACTGTTTTGCAGCCTTTTGCTGGTTTTAGCAAAAATCCTCCCATCACAGCTCCCAGAAGTCATGCAGTCATGATCGTACCACAATTATAGCTGGCTCGCTGCTTCAGTATTGACAGAATCTTCCTTTTTGTTTCTTGGCAGCAGTGGCAAATCCATGGAAGGTGGGGGGGGAGGCAAAATTCCCATCTTGAGACACCAATTTTTTTTATTTTATTGCTATTTACCAGAGAAAATATATTTTATTTGGTGCAAGGCCCTGTATAAAAGGTTTAAAATTCTTGGACCGACCCCCCTCCCACCCACCTTGGGAAGTTTCTTTATCCACTTCTGCTTGGTGGTGGTGCTTCTTGACCAAAGTTATAAGCAAATGTCCAAATGTTGTTTTTGGTTCCATCGCAAACCAATTGCATTGGCTTTTTAGTCTAAACTGTACTAAAACTTTGTAGTATTATTACAAACCTTGGGTGAACCACACCAGCTTGAGGTCTTCTTCTGCTCCTAAAAAAATATAAAATACTAATAGTAAGGCTATTTCAGATTTTTTTTAAATCTTACAATTCTCAAAGTATTAATGATGTATAAAACAACACAAGGGATTACATTTAAGTAAATATAACCACCAAGTTGCTCAAATATCTCCCATCCATAACTTCCAATATAAACATTAGAATTTGAATAAGTGACTTAGAAAATACCTGTAATTCTACTACATTAATTGCTGCTACAGACACAGCAGTCCAAGTAATGATTCAATACCTGCAATCGTATCGTGACATGTGACCGCTCATTTACAAAAGTATGATTATTTGATTGCGCGTTATTATAACCGAGTAGGGTGGACAAGCATAGCCCTGATCAACTCGCACCCATATCTCAAATGTCTGCCAGACTCGTTTGTCAATGCATACCGCTGTTTTATCACTTTTTATGTAATTCTTTTCCACTTGTGTCATTAAATACCCTTGGGTAGTCCGTTGACATTTAAAGGCAATAATTTTGTAGGAGATTTCTGCCAAATAGAGTATTTTCAAATTTTGATTTAAAGCTTTCGTGACTGCAGTGATTCATATTCTTGGTTCTTTCGGTAAAGTCACGTTGAAGGGAAACAATAAAATATATATTAACCAATAAAATATATATTTTATTAACCAATAATATATATTTTATTATTTTATTGTTTCCCTTCAACGTGACTTTACCGAAAGAACCAAGAATAAGAGTATTTTCATTCAAGAGTAATTTCTCCTTTCCCAAAAGAACATGCATGCCCATTATATGACTTTCAAAAGGGGCTTGCATAGTTTACAATGCTCCTGTAAAATATTGAGTGGATAAGCAATATGGTGACTGATTAGTTGAGTCTGATAAATTATTGGTTGTAATATTGCTTTCAGAATTTGTAACCTGATTACATAAGCTATATAAGCTTCCAAATCACAACCATTAATTTAGATTGGTGGAGCAGTCTGTATAGATAACTGCTCTTCACATCTCACTCTAGATATTGCATTAATATCTTCATCAACATTAAGTGATGTACATAATACTTATACACCTTTAGAAGTTCTGCTCTACTACGTTAATATTCTAAAGGTTGTGCTACTAAGCATGCCGTATGTTAATCTACATCGGAGAACCTATTATTTGCGTGCAGCTAAAGCTACAGAGGGTCTTGTTGCTTCATTTTAAACCATTGCCCAGATTCATGAATGATGATGTTAATACCATGAGCATGGTGTCTATTCAAGCGTTACCCTTGTGTCTTGGAGTGCAGGTACGACCTATCTCGATCATGCTGGGGCCACTCTCTATGCTGAGAGCCAGCTTCAAGGCTTCATGCGTGACCTGTCGTCCAATGTTTTCGGTAATGCAAATTGTGCCTCATTTATCGGGGGTTTTATTAGAATGTATGTATTTATTTGTAGCACTAATGTAGCCCAGGTTTCCCCAGGCGACCATGTCAATTGCATTCATTTTATTAAACTACAGTTAAACTATTAGGTCTTTTCAGTTTTTACTAAACGTTTACAATTTAATTGTGAAGGCACAAATATTTCTTCCTTAAATAAACTTTTTTAACATTTATATAGTCCATATATATGGAACTGTTTAAAAACACGTTTTATTTTTTGCAATTGCAGGTAATCCACACAGTCATAATAATGTCAGCAAATTCACCCATGACATAATTGAAAATGTGAGATACAGGTACGTACCTTGCATGTATACTCGTAATAGAACATTAAAAACAATACACGTGCTTGTCACCGCTGATGGCCATAGTCCTCAAATGTGGAGGCATTTATTCATTTGTAATCTATTCATTTTCAATAAATATTCACATTTTGTAAATTGTTCAACAATTGTCAGTTTTGTCATAGTTCTCCATCGTTGAGACATTTTTTTAATGGTAAATATGCCACTGCTGCAAACCTCAGCCACCGCTGTATTTGTCAAATGTACAATATATGTACAGTGCCGTATGAAACTGGCTATGTTAGAAATATCACAGAAATTTCAGGAATTTGTACACGTTTTTCCAAATTGATTAATCAGGATGAAACGTCACACGTGTCAAGTCCACAATAACTTTTTTTTACAAGATCATAATTTGATCAGGTTATGGTCGGGTTGTGAATATCTAATGGTGCCCATTCATCGATTAGCATTTTCCAGTAGACAGTAGCATATTTTGATTGCCATGGACCCTGGCGCAGGGAATGATATGGGTGCCCCCTCTCAGATTTCTCCCCTCATCCTAGCACGGTGCTTGCACCCCACTGGCCCGTGGGTCCCAGTGCAGTAACAGCCTGCGCACTTGATTACTACACCACACTCATAATATTGACGCATAAAATACAATGGAAGAGCATTCGTGAGCAGGTTGGCAACACTGTTTACGCTTGCACGATCTTGTGTTCAGCATGAAAAGGTATCTGCTATGCTCCAGTGGACACCAAGCAGGCACGCAATGCACCTGTGCACACAATGCACCTGTGCTTGATTAAATTAAGTATCAAAAGCCCCATGAACTTACTGTCATTACATCGCAATGTAATATTTAGAAATTGCATGCATCACTTACGCCCATAAATAGAATACCATCTTTGGGTGACATTACGTTTTCTCAAGTGGTGTGTCCTGAGGCGACTGCCCAGCATGCTATATATATCAATCTTAAACAGCTTTTACCCACTCTATCAATCTATCGTATTCTGCAGCATGCCTGCCGTCTCTGTGTACATGACCGGCCACAGGAGGCTTCCAATGTTCTCTAAGCATTTATAGCTTGAGCCATGTTTGAGATGCATTGTTCCTCAGAAGGATTTATTTCTCTTTTTATATATCACTTATTCTTCATGGCTACTTTTCTTCCTGTTCATTCCACCACCTGCCTACCACTAAATTTACCATATGAGAAATCGAACCTCTTATCCCACACACAGTAAAGTGATGTTTGATTGTCAAGTGGCACTCTCGTTGAGACTGGGACATTTATACGGTATATTGATGCAAGTTATATATTTTTTAGTGGAGTGCCTAAAGATTGCAATACAAAAGCCCTGGAGCATACACAAAGAGGGCAAACAGTATTTCATTGTGGAGTGCCTAGAAATGTTCGTAGAAGAATAGTTGCACGTAACGCAGTACATTAGAATTTGCTTTGTAAGATAAGGCACAACGCTAAACTAAATATGTTACGCACATCGGCTGGGTGTCCCGGGCTGTCCGACATCGGTTGAAAGCTTTGTTAATCAGAACAAAGACTTTAAAGTTACATACAGGTTTGTCATCATAACCCTCCAGTGATGTCACCTGATGATTTCACTCCCATCAATCAGAACAGTGACGTGACGAAAGCAAACTGTGGCAGCAAACTTGACAATAACGTATTCTTGGTTCTTTCACTAAAGTCACGTAGAAGGGAAACAATAAAATAATAAAAATATAAAACATTAAAATTCTCACGACGTTTCGACTGCAACACAAGCAATCATCAGGTGTGAAAACCACAGCAAGAATTTTTTAGAAAAAAGTGGCGTTTTTTTTTTACGTTAGCACCGCGGAGAGCGATTTGGCAGTTATTCAGATGGACGAGTCCATCTATGTTCGGAAAAAAGAGGGGGGAGACGAAAATAATGGATGCGGTCTGAAAGCCACCGTAAGCGTGAACAATCAATTAAGACCCGAAATGGCTTATCAAATCCTTCCAATGATTGCTAAGCCAGAATACATCTTCTCAGTTAAAATTGTCTCTGTGTTTGTATATGTGGATAACCTCATGAACGAATCTCTCATGGTAGCCAGATGGCTTGCAGAGAACCTCTGTCTTGGAGAAGTCAATGTCATGTGAGCCTACTGAATTATAACAGTGATCTGCCACGGCCGAGGTGTTGGTCCTACCGTGTTTTAGGTCTGCTTTGTGTTCACGGATGCGGTCCGATACATGTTGTTTGGTTTCTCCAATGTAACTACTACCACAGAGGCAACTTAGTTTGTAGACGCCAGGGTACTGTATGTCTGAAATCACATCTTTTACAGACGGAACCAGATCACGGAGTTTATGTAATGTGTTGAATCGGACCTGGATCTTGTGTTTATTCAAGATTTTGGAGATATTTTTTGTGATCCCCGCAATGTAGGGTAAAGTGATGGTTTTGAATGGCTCCTCAAGAGGGTCCTTCTTCATGGTTGGAGTGATACAGTGAGGGAAAAAAGTATTTGATCCCCTGCTGATTTTGTACGTTTGCCCACTAACAAAGAAAAGATCAGTCTATAATTTTAATGGTAGGTTTATTTGAACAGTGAGAGACAGAATAACAACAAAAAATCCAGAAAAACGCATGTCAAAAATGTTATAAATTGATTTGCATTTTAATGAGGGAAATAAGTATTTGACCCCTCTGCAAAACATGACTTAGTACTTGGTGGCAAAACCCTTGTTGGCCATCACAGAGGTCAGACGTTTCTTGTAGTTGGCCACCAGGTTTGCACACATCTCAGGAGGGATTTTGTCCCACTCCTCTTTGCATATCTTCTCCAAGTCATTAAGGTTTCGAGGCTGACGTTTGGCAACTCGAACCTTCAGCTCCCTCCACATATTTTCTATGGAATTAAGGTCTGGAGACTGGCTAGGCCACTCTAGGACCTTAATGTGCTTCTTCTTGAGCCACTCCTTTGTTGCCTTGGCCGTGTGTTTTGGGTCATTGTCATGCTGGAATACCCATCCACGACCCATTTTCAATGCCCTGGCTGAGGGAAGGAGGTTCTCACCCAAGATTTGACGGTACATGGCCTCGTCCATCGTCCCTTTGATGCGGTGAAGTTGTCCTGTCCCCTTAGCAGAAAAACACCCCCAAAGCATAATGTTTCCACCTCCATGTTTGACGGTGGGGATGGTGTTCTTGGGGTTATAGGCAGCATTCCTCCTCCTCCAAACACGGCGAGTTGAATTGATGCCAAAGAGCTCCATTTTGGTCTCATCTGACCACAACACTTTCACCCAGTTGTCCTCTGAATCATTCAGATGTTCATTGGCAAACTTCAGACGGGCATGTATATGTGCTTTCTTGAGCAGGGGGACCTTGCGGGCGCTGCAGGATTTAAGTCCTTCACGGCGTAGTGTGTTACCAATTGTTTTCTTGGTGACTATGGTCCCAGCTGCCTTGAGATCATTGACAAGATTCTCCCGTGTAGTTCTGGGCTGATTCCTCACTGTTCTCATGATCATTGCAACTCCACGAGGTGAGATCTTGCATGGAGCCCCAAGCCGAGGGAGATTGACTGTTATTTTGTGTTTCTTCCATTTGCGAATAATCGCACCAACTGTTGTCACCTTCTCACCAAGCTGCTTGGCAATGGTCTTGTAACCCATTCCAGCCTTGTGTAGGTCTACCATCTTGTCCCTGACATCCTTGGAGAGCTTTTTGGTTTTGGCCATGGTGGAGAGTTTGGAATCTGATTGATTGATTGCTTCTGTGGACAGGTGTCTTTTATACAGGTAACAAGCTGAGATTAGGAGCACTCCTTTTAAGAGTGTGCTCCTAATCTCAGCTTGTTACCTGTATAAAAGACACCTGGGAACCAGAAATCTTTCTGATCGAGAGGGGGTCAAATACTTATTTCCCTCATTAAAATGCAAATCAATTTATAACATTTTTGACATGTGTTTTTCTGGATTTTGTTGTTGTTATTCTGTCTCTCACTGTTCAAATAAACCTACCATTAAAATTATAGACTGATAATTTCTTTGTCAGTGGGCAAACGTACAACATCAGCAGGGGATCAAATACTTTTTTCCCTCACTGTAGCTTCCGGATTGTGTAGTCGGAGTAACCATTTGCCTTAAGAGCTTGGTGTATGTGCTTCAGTTCACTGGCTATGTGTTCCTGGTCGGATATGCATTGGGCTCTATGGTGCAGAGTCTTGATGAGGGAATTCTTCTGGGATGGATGGTGGTGGGAATCCGGTTTCAGGTAAGCATCCGTATGGGTGGCTTTCCTGTAGACAGAGCGGTTCATTGAACCATCAGGTTTCTTTTTTATTAGGACATGCAAAAAAGGTAGCTTGCCATCTTTTTCGACTTCCATGGTAAATCTGATGGCTGGGTGTATGGTCGAGGAATTGGTCTTGAGCAGGCCGGCAATATGGCCAGATGACAAAAGTGTCATCCAGGTACCTCTTCCATAAGGTTGGGCGCAGAGTGGCAGTCTGGATGGCGTCGGTCTCAAATTTCTCCATGAAAATGTTGGCTACAACTGGAGATAGAGGGGAGCTCATTGGGGTGCCCTCAGTTTGTTTGTATAAAGTTCCATTCCAAGTGAAGTATGTATTGGTTAAGCAGTGTCTCACCAGGGGGAGTACCTCAGTGTTTAGTCCTTGATGAACCATGTCTTCAATGATTGCGATGGTGTTTTCTCCTACAACATCAGAGTGCAGCGCCACATTAAAGGCGCACTACAATGACAATAGTTTAAAGCGATTTGAAGCATGTTTCATTTTCAAAATGGAAATATGGTTGGGGGGGCATAGCTTTGTGACGTCATATTTGAGGGGGGGGGGGTCTGACTTTTTGTGACGCGGGGGGGGTCAAAAATCGTCCAAAATCACGTGACGTCATTTATGGACGGCCCCTTATGAGGCAGAGGAAGAGACCCAGGCAGGGTTGTTTTTTTGCCGCGATATTAAAGACGTAAGTGTTTGAACCGCACGTAATTTAAGGCAGCGGATAAAGTACAGCCATTCCTGTTTGATAGTGCCACAAGTAAATGCATTTATTTATGATTTTCATACATAGTGTACGTGTGAATGCCGAGGCATCAACTCTTAAGTATAATGAGCGAAGCGCTCTAGGGCACGTGTTATTTCGCAGTAGATGCATATATAAAGAAAGCCAGAGCCGGGTGAAGTGTTTCTACGGGGGTGTGCAGGTTAGCCTGGTGTGCTGACTGAAGCAGGCACGGGAGTGCTTGCATAAATGATACATTAGACCAGCTTGGTGATTCATATATTATGAATGATGGATGGCACAGCCTAGCGATTGCATAAAGAAAGAGGGAAAAAATATATCTAAGAAAATGTGATGTCCATAATAATTTATGCAGTGATGTTGAATGTCAGTTTTCATGCGGTTAGTTAAAGTTGCTTACAGGCATATAGACATTTTAAATCGCCATTGTGGGAAATGACAAAAAGGACACTTAGCATTCCTCGTGTAACCACATTTGACCCTACATTTACATCTTTCTGATAAAAAAAAACACTTCCCGGTGTTAAAATAAAATGTAAGAAATGTATGCACGCACACTGTACACCCTACACATATCTGTTTCTTAAGTACAGTATATCGAATGCTGCATAAATACATGCATATTATTAAACCTGTCACAGAAGAACCCTTAATACAATGACTGCAAAACCGGTGGATAAGGGATATGACTCATTAATACAGTTTGCCTGACCTGTCGTGAAGCAAGACTCTGGCTTAATGCATTTTTTTTTGTGATTGATCATCTCGGAACCAAAACCACAAACCTTTCTCTGCAACATTTATGATAAATGGAAGCAGATATTCAAGCCGTTCATCTTGTACTTGTGTTACACAAATCGAAAGCACGATGTTTTTTTAAATTAAGGAAACATTCGTACTCTGAGAGCACGAGATCAATATCTATAATATAGCTCCGTGAGTTTAATATTTTGGAATGTTTAGGTCATGTGTATATTTTTCTCTGCCACAGAAGGAAACTGAGTCTAATATAGCTCTACTGCTTTTCTTCAGGTCAGTTGTTGATTAAGGAAACGGCCCACAGCCAGGCTACCTACCGATCTCGGGCTAGTTGTTCAACCATCTCAAGAGTCAACCAATCAATTTAAGGCCATATTAATTTAGTGCTTTGCGGGATAGCTTCCTATTATCCGTGATTTTTCCTTACAGATAAGTGGATAAAAATTGCGGGTAACCCCACAGACAATAGGATCCATGATATTGGTCCCCCAGATCACGACAGATAAGAGTAATGTATACAATACCCTCCTGTCTGTGCATTTCTGCAACAAAAGCAGCAACATCAGCAAAGTGAAAAAAATGTGTGCTTACACATCATTCTAATACAACTCACAATATCTCAAAGGGCTATATGTTAACGGTGGAAAAGCATTGTTTCATTTTCCCCCCCAAAAAACCCACCTGAGATTGAGAAGCTGTGCAAGTGATTGTGAAAGTGCCTCAGGAAAATCATTCATGCTGACCGTGCCGGACATATTTTTCAAACATGGGAAGAGCTGAATTACAAAACCCGCACGTGAGGTGCATCTGTAGCCATCGTTGGGCTCTAAAGCAGCCACTGCTGGGGTCATCGGACTGCACTGGGCAAAATATGCAACAACCACCCTCCATGGTTGCTATTCTGTGCATCAGTTAAAGCCATTGGGGTTAATGAGAAATAGTTTTACCACTGTTTCGTTGTCACTTTATTGTATTTTCTTGCATTGGCAGATGTGGGTTGGGGACTCCCTGATTTAATGTGGACACTTGCATACATTTAAGACACCCCTCCTGAGATAATTACTGGTGGTAGACAAACTATGCACGGGCATCCATGTGAACATACAAAGTGAAAGATTTCGTACCATAGCTATGTGAATGATTTGATAAAATGTGCAAAACTTGGCCGAATATTCCATGGACACCCCTTGCAATATTTGCATTACTATGCTTTTCCTCTTTCCCACTTACATTTTTCCTTTTGTCACATTTTGTTTCTTGACACCAACTTTAAAGTACCGATGTAATCTGTTTCGTTTGTCATTTATATCATCAACATCAGATGCGTTCAATCCACTGTTTTATGAAGGCCTCCCAGAGCCACTGCCGTCCCTCTTGAGCCTGTGATGTAATAATCCGCCTATGCACCTGCACATGAGCTGATTTCATCACTCCATCTCCTCGAGTACATCCTCTTGGACGCATTCCATTCCTTGGCTGCCACTCTTGTCATTATTCCTGATCAAGTCACATATCCTGTCCAAGCCCACTTAATTTTCTGAACACGTTGAATTATATATTTAACTGCTTAAGTGCTCTAATTCACATGCTCCTCTTCAGATCTCTAATTGTAATTTTAAACGTGCATCTCTCAATACTTCTTTGTGCACCTTTGTGTTGTTTGTTAATGACCATGTTTCTGTACAATGTCATGATAAGTAGTTTGCGCTGATAAAAAATGTTCTTTAGCCATATTGGAATGTTACTTTTCATGATGAAGTTCAAAAACACCCTAAACCCACTCTCTTACGCCTCTTTATTTCATAATTTTGATCCCAGTCTGCTTTCAATAGCTTTCCGATGTACTCATTCTGCTGTTTCCCAGTTGTATTCTCCCAACAGATATCTCCAATGTAGAGTATTAAAACAGTGATTAAATTGAAAGCCGCTCTTCATTAAGTACATTTTTATATGAATTAACACGTGTTTATTTAATTACCGTAAACGTTTAGATTATTCCCCTGCACAGTATAATCAGTAGTAGTAACTGTAATACTGTTGAATATAGCAATAATGTAACAATCTCCATTATAATGACTGTAAAAATTATAAAAGTACAGATTATTTGAAAATCGTGGTGCTTTCTAAAGAAAGTTACCGTTGTTTAGCTCTTGTGGGAATACAATCTAATTTATTGCCCTGTTGGAGGTATCTTTGGAAATTACCTTGTTAAATTTTGCTTTAAAATGGGTTACCAAGACATCACTTACCAACATGGATTAGCGGTGCTCATAACAGTCACTTTATTAATCGGGGAATTTCATGAGATTGTTGTGGGATTTGTTCTCTCTTATTTGAACTTTAAAAGAAGAATTCCACATTCATCCTTGTTTTATATTTATTAATAATTACACGAGTTATTGACCATGAAATTGTTTCGTGCGTCTGATTTATAGACACCATTTCAACGTTTATGGTGAATACTTTCACTGTGTGAGATTTTGATGTTGATTCACTCTGGTCAACATATTCATTATGTACTACTGTACAGTATAAGTAGACGTATGTGTCCGGACTTTGTTAATCAACTCTGCAGTAAATATGGGATTCCCCCCCTCCCCCCATTCTGAAAATGAGAAGCGGCATTGAACTATCAAGGTGGCATACTCTTTGGTTCTTTCGATAAAGTCACGTAGGTATAAAAGGGGGCTTATTTATTTATTTTATACCTGCGGTAAAGTCACGTAGGTATAAAATAATTGTATTTTTTTATTTTATACCTACGTGACTTTACCGAAAGAACCAAAGAGTATGGATTCCTGCAGTCACGAAAGCTTCAAATCTAGGTTATCAAGGTGGCATTTAGCATTATTGCAGCCAATCTATGGAGCAGCCACGAGATACAGTATACAATTATGTTAACGTTTTGTACTTGGCTAGGACTCTTTTCGTTGGGTTACCGCAGGCTGCTTCTGTGTTTCAAGTTTGTTGATGCAATTTCATGGTCTGACACCATGTGATTTCGGAGAGTTTTGGCAGCTTAGACTTATGCATACATATACCGTTGCACACTAATGCACACACGTTTATTCGTATCATCGCGTGGAAAAGCGAAATTGCGCAATTGGTTTAGTTGGAAAATAAATGGAAAAGTTAACTGAAGTTTCGGACCATACTGCTGGAGTGCACATTCACCGCAGTGAGAGTTTTTTTTTCTTCCCAACAGCACATCTATAAAGTATGCTATTACCACAAAATGAAATTGCAATTTTAATGGGGTACACTAAACAGGGCGAGTATTGCGATGGAAGTTATTACAAAAAGCGCTTCTACACAACGGCTGAGTTGCAAATGTGTTGCAGAATTCTGAACCGTTGAAAATATTTTCTTTTAATCTCCGTGTCAGAATATTGCGAGTTTAAAAGGCATCACCTTTTCACTAGTGAATTGCTATGCATTAAGATATTTTCGATTTAACACGTAGGCTTTTGCAATCAATATTATTCATAATTAAGGTTTAGATTGCGTCAATATAAATGTCGTTAACCCACCACCACCCGACACAGCCAATTAGTAATGTTTCCACGTGAATAAAACTCGCCAACTAGGAGTAAATCCACAACATTTACAAACTGAGTATGACGTTTTTTTCTGGCAATTACAACCAACTTCACCAGGCGATTTGCCTGTTAATGTTGTGGGTTTACTCTCCAACATACTGCTGTGCTGAAGTAGGGACTAATTGGCACATGTTGTTAACGTGACAAACCTTGCTAATTGGCTGTGTCGGGGGGTGGTGGGTTAACAAGACATTTTATATTTACGCAATCTAACAAAAAAAAACCTTAATTATTAAATTAAGATTTTCATTTGTTTGAACACAATAGGGACGGTTTTAAAAATATATTTTGTTTCTGTGACCAGGATCCTTCAACATTTCAAAGCCTCCCCTGATGAATATGCCGTTCTCTTCACCTCGGGGTGCACGGCAGCTCTCAAATTGGTGGCAGAAAGTTTCCCCTGGTCCAGCGGGAAACAAAAGAAGCCATCTGCGAAGTTAACGGAGCATGTCCAGCCCTCAAACAGAGAGGACGTGTGCAGTTTTAATGGCGGTGGTGATGCAGCATCTGAGCTTGACAGGCAGAGCGGGAGTGTGTTCTGCTACCTCACGGATAACCACACGTCGGTGATTGGCATACGTGTCTTGGCACACAATGCTGGTGCCGGATGCCTTGCAGTGACCCCTGAAGAGGTAGAATCGGGCCCGGCTCAGACCTTCTGTGGCCCAAAGTGTAAATGCGATATTAACAGAAATACAGCTGCTGGCAAGGTTAGTGAATCCTCAGTGGGCCACCAGTGTGTACAGACCCAGCAGGACGGAGGCGAACCGCAGAGTCACGAGCCACCGCCTCCCAAAAGGCTCGAGAGACCTGCCGATGTCAAGGAGCTCCACCACCTATTCGCTTTCCCGGCGCAGAGCAACTTCACGGGCAGAAAGTACCCGCTGCGCTGGGTGGCAGCTGTGCAGGAAAGGGGAGCGGCGGCCCTGCTGCCAACCCAAGCAGTGGTGGTGCCCGAGAGTGGTCGGTGGCACGTCCTGCTGGATGCCGCGAGCCTCGCAAGCACTGCCCCACTCGACCTGTCGGTCCACGTGGCCGACCTCGTTCCCATCTCCTTCTACAAACTCTTCGGGTTCCCCACCGGCCTCGGCGCCCTGCTGGTTCGGGCGCCCTGCCAGGCCCTGTTACTCAAGCATGGGGCATACTTCGGAGGGGGCACGGCCGCAGCTTATTTACCCGCGGAAGACTTCTATGTTCCTCGAGACTCCTTCTGTGACAGGTGTGGTTCATGCTCGCTTTTCCACAAGCGCGTTAATTTATTGGTCAGTAATTAAGTGCAATTGGACGTAATAATTGGAAAGCTGCCTTGGGAAATCAGTTACTGGCTGTAACAGTGATTTATTTTCGTGGCGGAAGTGGCTCATTGTGTTTTTTTACACCGAGTTTGTTGTAGTAAGATTCGTTTTAAATAACACTTGATATTTTTTTTATTCCACTTTAGAAGCTAAAAACAACAAAAAATCCAAATATATATGGAACTACTATTATACACACATCATCGGTGACTAAAGGTGTGCTTGTCTGTAGCAGGACATCCATTCTTAAGTTGGTGAATTAACAAATTGTGGCAGCATTTCATGCATTTACCTTTTGGAGTAATTTGTCAGATAAACAAACTATAGTATAGTAATTTAGTTATAAATAAAGTCGAAGAAATTCAACTTCCCTACAATTATGCACGTTATTCTGACTGCACTGGTTCTATGTGGATGTATTTATCATCTATTGCAGTGGTTCTTAACCTGGGATGCACACACCCACTGGGGGTGCGAGATTCCCTTTCTGGGGGTGCGAGACATGGCCAGGTTTTTTTAGAAGGTAAATCATAGAAAACACAAATTAAGTACGGGCACGTAAGTACAGCTACTTTGTTTCATCAAACCTCCTATGTATTTATTAACATACATGTTTTTCACGATTGAGAACCATTGGGGTGCAGTCTGCAGTTAAGGTTAAGAACCACTGATCTCGTACAATGCTTTTGAAACGTAGGGGATCATTGCAAGAGTGCGACAATGTGAACTTATCGGCGACAGATCCCCAACCTCCATGCTTCTCTTGAGGGGTGTAACGATGCATCGATTCATCAAATGTCAATTCTTCTAGCTCATGATACCTGCACCGAATCGCATGAGTAAGAATTGATGTTTATTCGATTTGTTTGCGTTGTGCAGTGGGTTCAAGTGGTCCATGTGACCACTAAATGACCCACTACACTCATCACAATGAAACAAATATATTCTTCAATTGAATTGTGATCCTTGTATCGCAAAAAACTTAATTGAATTGCAGTGGGAGTGGATGGTTCCACCCCTACTTTTCTCCATCTGAAATCTTTCACGCAATGTATTGTTCATCATCGATGTACACGAGGGTGATATATACACGCATGCTCTGTGGCTAAGTGGTTACAAAGTACAGCAGCAGATGTGTTAATTTGCACGTGAATACAAATAAACCTCACTTGACAAAAAATGTCAAGGCCTTACACAAATGTCACGCCTCCAAAAAAATTTGGTAAATGTCACCAATTGATATGATGGCTTCCAAATTGTCTTCCGTCACAGATACAAAACGTAGATTTATTTCTATTTTCTTTGCTGGATTTAAGCTTTATCAGCCTTACCTCCCCTAGTGGGATGGCATGCCTTTTTCCCCCCTCATCTTAAAGGTGATCATCTCCCCATTTAATATATCGGTTTGACAATTGCTGTAAATATTGAATGGAAAGGAACCCTCTCATCTTCAGCAATGTTGCTTAGGAAAGAAAAATTTGCACGCATTAAAATGTTATCTCAGAAACGTAGGGGGAATTTTCCACACCCTCTTTCAAGTATTTATCCAACCAGTAACAATATATGGCAATGCATTAATATATTCCCAGCCTGGATGGTAATCCTAGAGCTGTTAAACAGTGTTCAATGGTGGTGGGAAGCAGTGACCTTTATGTTTTGGTAGAAATTACCAAGCACTGGAACTGGGAACCTTCCACCAGTGTTGGAGGAGAATATATTTTGAGGCATTCTTGACTCGAGGTTGTGCTTACAATCCTGTTTCCCTTTTAATGTTTCCTAATTAATGTGTATTGCCCCCAAATTTAATATATTTTAACAACGAATGACCATTTTGCAGACAAATGCACATTGCTGATTACAAGCCAGTCCTCTTACCGTTTTTAGTAGACGTGTAATTATTCTTCCGCCCAGTTATTGAACAAATTGTCACAATTTGGGGTTGCAGTTCAATTAAATAATTTGTAATTAATTTAAAGATAATAAACGCCATAGTTTTTAAGTCTCGATTTTACCGTTGAATTTAGTATTTCTCTTTTTTTCAAATTTTGCCCCATTAGCCTAAATATGATTCGCATACAATTGACGTCATATGCATATATCATAAATATTCTTCAAATATGATTAAATGCATGCTGAGCACAGGAATTGAGGTTAATGAGTGACTCAATGCATCGTTACGTGCCTATCGACATGCGACAGACAACAAACTGCTGAAATTATTGGAAATCAAATGCTATGGAATATGTCCTGAGGCACAACCAACTGTCAGATGGTTTGTTTTGCAACAGCTTTGTTGGCTGAGTCAGTTCGCGATCGTACTAACGCACTGTATGCGATGACAGCTCCTGGCTTTGTTTTCGGCAGTAACTGCCAGTGGTGGCGAAAAGACCGTCCGTCCAGAATGTTGGGGTGGCTGAGAGGGCTGCGATTGATCCCCTGCGTATGCACCATTTGTCACACTGCTGTTCATGCTTCGGGTGGTGGAGATCGATAGGGCCCAAGCGAAGCTCGCTCGTTCCCCATTGCCTGGCACACGGCGCCACCAGGGGAGGCTCCAATGCCAGCGAAGCGATCTCAGCAATTAAATCGGTGCTTTGCTACTGCTTCATCAACCACGATAATTAAATTAGCAGGCAGATAATTTAATCAATAGCATTCATAATAAAGGTGTTTGGGTTAGATCGCGTTATTTATAAATGTGTCGTAACCCTCCACCACCCGACACGGCCAATCAGTAAAAAAAATGTGTCACGTTTACAAAGGACAAATAGTTCACTACTTTAGCCCACCGGTGTGTTGAAGAGTAAATTAACATCATTTAAAATTTGAGTACGACGTTTCGCTGGCAATTACATCCAGCATCATTGGGCATTTCTCCAGAATGGTAAAGCCCTCACTTGCTCCCGGTCTTAAATAGAGCAGCAGGGTGACGTCATCATTTAACTCATTCAGGTGCAGTGATTTGAGGCGGAGGGGGGGGTATTGGTAATCAGTAACACATTATCAGCCGATTGTTGTGTTATGGTATCGATTATATTCCAATCGTTTGGTATTACCTTTGAATCTCTGCACCTTTTGAGGAACGCCAGTGAAGATATCAATTTCATCCGCTTAATGTGGAGCTTCTCCAACTTTCTGGTTTTAAGAAAAGTATCCTCCCCATAGAGGTTAGTCAGTTTAACGCTTAGGCTTTCGCGACCAATATTATTCGTAATAAAGGTTTTTGGGTTAGATCGCGTTATTTATAAATGTGTCGTAACCCTCCACCACCCGACACGGCCAAACAGTAAAAAATGTGTCACGTTTACAAAGGACAAGTAGTTCACTACTTTAGCCCACCGGTGTGTTGAAGAGTGAATCAACATCATTAGTGTCATATAAAATTCAGCAGAAAATGTTAGTTAAAACCTTTAATTAAGTGAGCGTTGTTTGTAAATCGTCAGATTCTATGCTAACTATTGTAAATTTTGCTGTGACTAAAATGTATATTCCTTTAGGGCATTCCACCGCCCCTACATGATTTATAATGGGGCACATTCTAATTTACTCCCTTATATCATTCGTTATTGTTTGACTGCAAGTTTATTTGCACGTAATGCATTGCAATAACTGTGCATAATATTCAAATATCTATAAAACTTCATCTTTATGGATTTTTCTATACAGTGCTTATTTATTTTTGTACTTAAAACTGGAATACTTAAGAATGTAACTAGTGCTGTAACCATTCATTATTTCAGTTGATTTTAATGTACGCACATGTTAGGTAATAACAGCAAGTAGATTTTATTGAGAGCCAATCAGAAATGAAGTGAGTTATTGATAACTAATGTGGAAGTGGCAAAAATTTGGCTGCATTTCTATCCTTACAAAATATCAATGGGAATCATTAAACAATACGTAGTAAATTAATGAGAAACTGCATTGTAGCACTGCAAAGCGGTGATGTAGCTATCAAGTGTGCAGGTGGTACAACTGGTTCATGGGCCGGAATGGCCCACATTCTGAACTACGAAGAGGGTGGGGACCCCACCCCCACCCTCTTCGTTAGCGGGGCCCATATAATTCCTTGCAAATGGGCCCTTGCTAACCACATTACACCACAGCTGTAATGACACTCAGTACAGCTAATAAGCAATATAGTGCATTCTCTGGGTTATGAGATGCTCCTAAAAGTATGAGTGCCCTAAAATTGTAACCAGTCTAAATAAAGTTATACAAATTTTGTCACACGTACACACTTACTGGGGATATAAAATATAACCCCCAACTTTAACTTTAAAGTACATGGGGGGAAATTGCGTCATAATCCAGTAAAAAATAATACTCTATCATCAGTTTAACAGCACAAATCTGTGGGATGAGAAATCGGTTTTATCGTTCACAAGCCTAGGTGTTTACTCAAGTGGAATTGGACAGTGAAGGAGCACACCCAGTAAATGTCCAATCAAGATAAAACAGTTTCATTTCAGCAAATAAACAAATAGGACACAACTAATGCCATTCATTTGTACGTGACTCACATGTCACGAGACGCGCATGACACATGTGGCATTTTTTTTGCCCACTGCTTTTCTGCACATTTGTATGCTCCTTAGGCTCAGAACTTGTCGCACATGTTACAACCAGATGTACATCGTGACCTTTGACGCTGAAGCCTGGGGGAGTGCCATGGTGGAAGTAGGTGGGGGGCTGTGACAAAACAATTTGGAGCGGGGTTTTTGATGAGAGCCATGCATAGTGCACTGCCACAGCCGACTGTACTTAGAGTAGTGTAATGCGAAACGCCACACCTCCACAGACGCTGCGCTGACGGCACCCCGACAGCTTTCAATTTAATATCCTTAATATAATAGTGATAATAAATATGTTACAGCCCTTTGTTAATCTGCTTCTGGAAGAAGGCCTCCCCATGCCCTCTCAGTTGTGAGGCTAGTTTGACATTGTACAGGTTAGATGAAGAGGCCCTCGCGAGAGCCGTTCACATGTCACTCTCCACTGATATGAGCCATGGCTGAGAATGATCGAATCGAACTCGCGTGGCCGGGTCCATTGCATAGTGCTCTCCATACATTTTTTTCTCCTTGGTGAAAACAAAAACAGTAAATAGAGCAAAATAAACATTTAAAATTAATTCAGTTCATGCTCAAAGCGAGTGTGGGGTGGTGTGCTTTATCTGTTTCATTTCTGAAGCAGTGGTGAAAATTCCACATTCAAATGGAAAGGACCAGTCTCACCATACCACAAAGTTTAGTGCAGTTGAAATAATGATGTTGATTATTATATAATTGAACACATTTGCATTGAAGGATCACAGCAATTCTCCAGATCCTTGAACCCGGCCAATGTCCGTCCACTTGTGGCTAATCAAGAAGCCAGCAAGCAAGGCACGTTTTGTGCAATTGTGTGCTCATGCATATGTCTGCGTTTGGTGCATTTTGCAGTGGGGAGCAGTAGTGCGGTGGTGAGCACACTGCGGTATACACCCGGCTATCTGGGTTCGATTCTGGCTCATGCCCACCACCAGTGACGGTTATCTGAACCGGTCCCTGGGCCTCCCAAAGGTCATAACAGCCTCAAATCAGTACCTGGTGCAGTGTGTAAACATCGCTACTAGGGAGACAAAGCTACACCCACCCCCTCGTGTGCCATGCCGGCCTTCATAGGTGCTCACGAACAGCACTTACCCAACAGACTATTTAGGGTACATGGGGGATATGTCTTTGGTGCATCTGCCAGTGATTTCAGTCAGTCAACCCATGTCGCCTGGGTCTGTCCCGTGACCTGCTGCCAGCAGGCCTTCGACACTTCACCTGGCCTCAAAAGTGTACCTAGCCTGGTAAAAGCGCTATGGTAACATCCACTGTTACTTAGTGGTGAATAGTGGCTGTTATCGTAGCGTAGTGGTTAGAGCACTACGCTATGAACCCAGTGATCAGAGTTCATTTACAACACAAGGCCAACCTCACTGACAAATATCTGAACTAGTTTTGGGCCTTCCCTAGGTTGACTCGGCCTTTAATAAAAATCAGTACCTGATCCAGTGTTTAAACACCAAGACTCGGGATACGAAAGTGGTGGGGCATGGTACTACTGTCACGTGTGTCAACAGCGATATAGAGGTTCTTTGTCTTTGTGTGTGCTGCTGGTACAAGCCCGATTAGCAGTCCTCTACAGAAGCCAGGAGAGGATCTAAGGGTAAATAGGGAACACACCGTTACTGGCCGCCTTTGTCTCCCAAGTGCTAGTTTTGATACTTTACACCAGGAAACCAATTTGAGTTAAGTTGACTTTGGGGAATCCCACATGGCATATGTAGACCTCAGATAATCGGTGCTCAAAAAAAGCATTTCTCCAATTAGTCTCTCACATGAGATGTAATTGTTTTCTCTTGATCTTTCTCAGTGCATTTGTATGCAAAGAGTCTAAGTTACACTTAAAGAGCAGATATTTAGAGGCCACCATGTAAAAATGTTCACAGCTCAAATGAGATGCACTTTCGCCTTAACTGCACATACTGCAATTGCTTTGACATTTGCTATCATTTATCGTTAAACAGAAGGTAAAATTTTAGCACCGATTATAAGTGCCGCATCATCGTTATTTTTCAAGAAAAATGATCAAACACTTTTTGACTGCATATTTTAACAGTTTAAAACTCGATATTTTAATTCAAATAGATTTTTTAGAATAATCAGACTGCATCAAATTATGCATAGTACAGTATAAGTACCCTAGAGCTCAGTCTTACGGACATAATTCATTGGCATCAATATTAGATTAATATTGTAATACAAATTCAGTTGACCTTTGTGCACAGTGCAATATTGACTGAATACAGTTATCTTATAGATATAAGCAGAGATCGAACAATGAGGTCATTTTAGCGAGCTTATCATTGCAAGGTTCGTCTAACGTGAAATGGGAATTGGCTCCTGAGGTGGCCTTTTAAACACACCAGCACAACAACCGCACGTGTTGTGACCACATTTTGTGTCTCTTTCGCTGTGCCTCGGTATTCACTCCAGGTTCGAAGATGGCACCGTCTCGTTCCTGGATATTGTGGCACTGAGGCATGGATTTGACACCCTAGAAGGACTCACAGGTATGCCCCCCCCCCCACTTCGGAGAAACAAAAACACGATATGTATCATGGGAAGAAAAATATAATAAACTCCATACACCCAGCTCCCTGTCCCTCCTTCCCAGGAAGGCTTACATGCCCCACAAATATATTTACCCACTGGCTGCCACTGAGTGGTGGATTATTATCAGCGAATAATAAATCTGACTTTTTAATGTCCTGGGAAGAATTACAGATTTCCCAAGATGGCAGCTACCCCAAAAAGAGGGACGATGCTGAGAAAAGCAGGGACAGGTAATGAACCCACTCACAGCTACAGGCAGTAGGCGCAACCTCATTAGGACGCGCCCTATGTGAGCGTAGACCAGCTGCCACTTTCAAATAGAAAGACCGTGGATTCAAGAACTAAAGAAGCAGTAATGATGGTTTGGAAATAAGCATTAACACGGCAGGGGGTGCGGCCCACCATACAATTCATTATTACGAATGTAACACTAGGCTGCTGCGGTATGTATACTTTATACAGCATTTGTCTGCATGCTTGTGAAAAATATAATTATACCCATGTAGATAAAGGGAATGGTTTAATAATTGGGGCTGCTGAAACAGCTTAAAATGCCTAAACTCACACACATATAGGTTACACGACATTTGGGCAATGATTGCATTTGTAATGGATTCGACTGAGTCGCAGACGTAGACTTGGAGGCAACACATTTATTCATTTCCAACACACGGGGTAACTTTCCCCTTAACGGAATAACAACCTATGGTGGTGACCACCAGGCTAACTACACGAGTTACAACGTAACTGCTACTACGGAACGGGACCAACAGCTTCGGCCTGGGTCCACGTGTTGGAGACTCATTGAATGGAGAATGTAGACGAAAGGTTTCTCCCAGGATGAACAGCAGCCCTGGTCCATCTCGGGAAGCGGCTTATATTCTCTGTGGCGTGGCCGGCTCCGCCCTTGGCCACGCCCACCTTCCAGAATCCTCGGGAAGGATCTGGGTCCCAATCACGTGACCACCCCTATCCCCTACTTGGGGCCCCTTTGTAGACTTAACTGGTCACGTGTCCTTCCGGGTCAACCAGAGTACCATGGCCTCAAATAACCTCATCCTCCGGCTGGCACCCACACACCCTGTCCTGTAGGGTCGGCACTGCACGCAAAGCGTGGTGCCATCAAGCGCTATCATTCAGGGCTCACCGGGTCCCTCTAGGGGCGGTACTACACCCACACCACTGTGGTATCCGCGATGTCGCAACAACGCACGCCGTACCCATCTCGAGCCGGCATTGCACCCAGCATTTTGACATCCAGCGATGTCCCTTCACATTCATGAGATTGCCAAGATTGCCTCTGTATTTGCATCATGCATATCACAGGCACTACAGGATATATACCCGTTGCCTTTGATCTGTTTTGTTCCAGTACCAAATTAAACACATGAGGTTCAATTGGAATTTTCCCTGGAAGCCTCCTGCGTTTCGGAAAGCTTTTGAAGGGGAAAGCGCACGGAGTCAGCAATTTTAGATTTGGCCTTGTTGGGTGCGGCTCGTAACTGGACATCAATCGGGGGTTCGTGTTCTCTCCCGTACATTAAAAAAACGGTGAGTAGCCGGTGGATGCGTGAGGAGCCATCCTATATGCAGCTAGGACTCCGGGAATATGCAAATCCCAGTCGAGTTGGAACTCGCTGACCTGATGGCTCAACATGGAGGTCAGAGTCCTGTGTAGCTGCTCAACCATGCCATCCGTCTGCGGTTGATACGGTGACATGTGTACTTTCTTTGTTCCCAAAAAAATCGCACACTTCACGCAACAATTTAAGAAAAATTATTGCCCTGATCGGTCAAAAGATGTTCGGGAGCACCTTTGTCCATTACATAGCCATTGAGGAATGCCTCAGTGATCGTTGCCGCCGACTGGTTGGGGAGCGGCCAGGCCACAGGCCATCGTGAAAAATACTCGACTCCCACTAGCAAATACTTATTCCCACGAGGGGTAGTGGGAAATGGACCCAGGATGTCCAGAGCAACTAATTCATTTACGCGGGAGACCTGAATCGATTGCAACGGTGGACAACAGGGTTTCGCTGGCGGTTTCCGCCGTGCGCACTGCACACACCCTTTCAACAAATTAGCGACATCCTCAGCCATGCCAGGCCAGAAGAAGTCCAGCTTAAGTGTGGCCAACGTCTTATGCACACCCAGGTGCAACAGGCGCTCGTGTACCGCCCAAATGACCTTACCCCGCAGGGCAGTGGGCACAATAATGTTATAACGCCGCAACCCTCCATCCCAATGCATGAGCAATCCGCCTCTAAGAATGACAGAGGCAACACCCCGTCGATGCCTGCCCCCAACAGCCTCCCTGACACGGCGTCGCAGTTTAAGCAGGGAAGCGTCCTCAACCTGGAGGCGCCCCCATTCTTCCTGGTCCAACCCAATGATGGCGTCACGCGCTACTGGACCCTCGGCCACCTCAGATGTTACAACCTCGGCCGACACCGCAAGGGAAGGAGGCGAGTGCTCGTTGGGCAGCTTACAGCGCTCCGAGCCCGATAAACACGCGCACCCCCCCCCGCTCTTTGGTAATCCCGACAGGGTGTCAGCGTTCGTGTGTCTGGAGCCTTTGCGATAGGTCACATTAAAGGAGTAGTCCTGGAGGACCTCCAACCAACGTGAAAGTTGGCCAGACGGCTGTTCAACACGCAGCGCGTACTGTTGGTCAGAGCACACCTTAAAGCGTCTACCATACAAATAGGGGCGATACTGTTGTACGAAAAAGACAATAGCTAACAGTTCCCGGCGTGTGACACAGTCCCGTTCTTGGGCCCGAGACAGCACTCTGCTTCCGTATGCGACAACACTCTCGACGCCATTGACAACTTGAGACAGAACAACTCCAATTCCGGTGTTACTAGCGTCTGTATCAAGGACGAACGGCAAGGAAAAGTCAGGGTAGCGGAGGGGAGGGGAGTTCACCATGCCATTCCGGACGGAGCGCAACAAATGCGGCCTCCTCCTCCTCCCCCCAATGGAATTAATTACGCTTTGCCATCAAGGCGTGGAGAGGTTTAGCGATCGTAGTGAAACTGGTGACAAAACGGCGGTAATAGGACGCGAATCTTATGAAACTGCGAACCTCCACCACCGACATGGGGGTCTGCCAAGTACGAACACATGCGGTTTTGTCTGGGTAAGTCGCAATACCCGATTCACTATGTGGCCAAGATAGCCAAACCGATTTTTGGAGGAGGTGACACTTTTGTGGTTTAAATTTCAGGTTGGTCGCACGCATTTTGAGAAAGACAGCGCATAGCCATTCCAGGTGTTCGTCAAACGTATGGCTGAAAACGATAACATCGTCGAGATATATGAGGCACGAGTCCCACTGGAGACCAGCCAGAACCACTTCCATTAATCGCTGGAATGTAGCCGGCGAATGAAGACCCATCGGAAGCTGATTGAATTCGAACAAGCTTTGTGGTGTACGAAAGGTTGTTTTGGGCTTAGAGTCTTCGTCTAGATAGGAGATCAAGAGTTGAAAAGAACCACGCCCCTGCTAGAGCATCCAGTGAGCCGTCCATTTGGGGTAGAGGGTATGCATCAGCAACAGAGACCTTATTAAGCTTATGGAAGTCAACACAAAAGCGCAAGCTACCATCCTGCTTTTTAACAAGTACAATTGGGGCTTCCCATGGGCTGGACGCATCAGCAACAGAGACCTTATTACGCTTACGGAAGTCAACACAAAAGCGCAAGCCACCATCCTGCTTTTTAACAAGTACAATTGGGGCTCCCCATGGGCTGGTGAACAGTGAAATAATATCTGCGGCTAACATTTCGTCAACCGCCAGCTGAACGTGTTATTTTTCATAGGGCTCAGCCAGTAGGGATTCTGCCGGATGGGAGCGGCGTCACCCGTATCAATGTGATGACTCAAAAGCGTAGTGCGGCCGATGTCAAATTTCCCTTTGCTAAAAACGTCCGATAATTCGCGCAAAAGCACCCTCAATTTCCCCCGGACAATTCCGCATTCTCCGAACAAAGCGTATCGATCCACCCCTCATCAGGACTCTAGTGCGGCCGCGTGTTCGACGCGGCACCCACACTGACAACGATGCTTCCCTCATGAAGTGCTGGTGACGCATGAGCTAGCACGTTATCTTTTTGGATGACCGACGTGTCTAACCCTGCGTTAAGAACCTGAATGAAGGGTTCCTGATCGTTGGATACCAACGTCTGGGTCCCTACTAACGTCAATCCACGACTGGCTTTATTATAAGGTCCCAAGAGGATTCCACCCGCCATCGCCTCCTGGTCTAGTGGCTTCCGCAATCGTAAGGGGACCAACATCTGCGCGCCGGGGGGAATCTTAACCGTCGTACGTGCAAGTGCTTGCACGGTAGCGTTAGCTGTGCACAAGCCAGTGGGAGAAGGCAAGAATGCCATTCGACGGCCGGATGGTAATTCCAGGCACCCCTGGTCAATCAAAATTTTCAGGGGCATCCTTCCCAAAAAGTCGGTCCCGAGCAAGCAAGAAATAGCAAAGGATGTTGACACAAGAACCGGCCCCGTCAATTTGACATCCGCAATGCACACTTCCGCTGTTATTCTCCCAATGATGCCCAATGAGCCGTCGTTTGCGACAAAGCACGGAGTTTCGACAGGACATAAGGTATGACATCTAGGGGATAAGATGTTATAAATCAATTCTGAGAAGATGATCGCTGATGAACCGGCGTCAACGAGCATCCTGATCTCAACCCCCTCTACCAACCCAATAACAGCGGACGAACCTGCGGTCGCGGCAACCATTCTTTGGGCCAGCTCTGACCACTGACCCGGTCGGAGCGGCCGGTCAGCCTGATCAAAGTCCGAACCCTCCCGCACCTATGCACGACCGGAACAGAACCCGAACGAACGAGATGGGTGAGGTGGATTCAGGGGCCGAGTGTGTGATGTGTCGCGACTCGCCTTTTGGTGCAGTGTAGTGGAGGACGGTCGGGCAGATGACAGCGGTGGTCCGGGGAGGCGTCGTCGCGGCACGCGGCAGCCCGACGAGATGTGTCCCGGCAGGCCGCAGTTGTATCATACGACGAGTCCGCTCGAAGGATGAGGAGATGTCTTTTGCCATCGTTGGTTGTCCGCCCGTCGCACCATGCCATCCCCTCGCCCGCCTCCGCTCTGGGTCGACGTGCAGGCTAGGACGGGCTCCACGTCTTCAGGTGTATCCGGCCACTCACGGGACGCGGTACATGCCGCTAACTCCTTGTGCCGTTGCAAGAGCTGTTGAGCCTGGATGCTTCTTGCAACCTTGATAGATGAAAGGTCATCGTCTACAGCCGGCAGGACGATGTTGAGGTCCTTAGCCAAAGCCAGCAATCCATCGAGGACCAGTGAGTCAACTCTGTCGTGGTCCATCCTCGGAAAGGCAGCCTTCGCTCGCACCAAAAGTGCACTACGGAAGGCGAGGGGCGTCTCGGCTTCTCCTCTCCTTCGCGTAGTGAACATATGACGCATGTTCGATGGCGGCTCATAAATTGCTGCCATTTGGTAAAAGGCTTGAGTCAGCGTGGCCCTCTCCGACGGCGGGATGGTGGGAAACGCTGCCAGGACGTCGTCATCAAGGGCAGCGGGCAGTGCTTTCAGCGCCTCCAACTCCGTCCACCCCGCCAAGTCAGCGTTCATCAGAAACCGCCACTTGAAGGCCTCCCAGTCGCGTCCGGTGGCTGTGAATTATTTCACGAAGGACAGTTGTCGCCGGAGAGATGGAACGTCCACAGGCGATTTCGATGCAGCTTCAGATTTGGCGGGCTCCACGCTCCAGTCTTCTGTAAAGATGGCGGCCGCAAGCGCGGGCTGCGCCACAGAGGTTCCCGCTTGGCGGGAAATGGTGGCGGAAACCTCATTTCTGCACGGCTCCACTGCACCTCCGTCCACCACTGGCTCCTCTGCCGACAGCACCTCGCCTCCCTCCTCCGGGGTTGCCATCCCCGGGGCTGTTTGAGGAATGAGGTCCTCATCTTCATCGTCCAACGTCCTGGTACGTAGTCTGCGTCCCGTAGTCATGACCTAAGCCTACTAACTTTACTCGAGAATGTTTGGCCACTTCCGTCACCACTTGTAGTGAATTCAACTAGGTCGCAGACGCACTTTTTGGAGGCAACACATTTATTAAACCAACACACGGGGTGCTACCCCTTAACACATTAACAACCTATGGTGGTGGACCACCAGGCTGTCTACACTAATTACACCGGAATTAGCTACGACGGACCGGACCCTGGCCTTGGTCCGGGTCCACGTGTTGGTGACTCTTGTAGAATGTCGAAGGTAGAACTTAGATTCTTCAGGATGAACAACAGCAGACGGTCCCTCTCGGGGACCCGGCCTTTATTCTCTGTGGCGGGGCTGGCTCTGCCCTTAGCCACGACCACCTTCTGGAATCCTCTAGCAGGTTCCTGGCCCTGACACGTGACCAACCCTAGCTCCCACCTGGGGGCCTTGTGTACACTTTACCGGTCACGTGTCCTTCGGGGTCAACCAGAGTGCCATGGCCCTTAGTAACCCCATTCCCATGGCCGGCACTCTCACACCCTATCCTGTAGGGGTCGACACTGCACGCGTAGTGCCATCCAGCACTGCCAGACAGTGCTCACCGAGCCCCTCTAGGGCTGGTACTGCACCCATATGTAAGTGGTGCCCGCAATGGCAATACATCGCACGCCGTGCTCCTCTCTCGGGCACAGTGACATCCGCGATGTTACTACATATGTATCAATAATGTAATGATTAAAAATAAGTGGGGTTTAAATGCGTATCATATCATCATTATGATCTACCATCCTCAATTCACCACTGGATTAAGGCTTCCCCAACCCACCATCATTTTTCTTGAAGCTGCAACATAATATAATACATATTTTTTTTCGTTTTCTGAAACACATTCATGAGGGATAAGTGAACAGTGCAGTATCTTATAGCTTAGTTTATTTCTTATTGTAGTTGTATTTAAATCACACTGAAGCAATATTTCAAGAGCGGTTAATGATAATAGTTTGAGGAAATTGGAATACTGGAGTGAGTAATCAAGCTCATTGGTCTGTGAAGTGTTAAGGCAATGTGTCTCACCAAACTTGACCTCAGGAGGTTTATCTTAAGTTAATGTTATTGAGTATGTTCTGTTCATGCAGCTACTTGGCCTTGACACTTGGTATGTAATAAAGAACATTGTCTACATCCAGAGATTATTCATGTCTCGGTATTTAAAAAAAAACATTAACAATGTTCTTTGAAATGGTGAGCACTTTGTGTGTGTATGTGTGTGCATTATCCTAGTGGTTTGCACTCTGTCGTATGATTCAAATATACGTTTACAGCCATTTGTCAATCCACTGCTGGACGAGGGCCTCCCCAAGCTCTGCAAGTGATGACGAGTTATTTGACCATATTTCACAATGCCAGTCAGTGCGGGTTTGTGAAAAGGATCCGAATGACCTAGCATAATACATTGTTGGCCATCATGCGCAACAGCAGCGTTTGAAACTGGCCTGAGATTTAAAGCTTTCGTGACTGCAGGGATTAATATTCTTGGTTCTTTCGGTAAAGTCACCTGATGATGGTTGCTTGTGTTGCAGTCGAAACGTCGTGAGAATTTTATTGTTTTATATTTTTATTATTTTATTGTTTCCCTTCTACGTGACTTTACCGAAAGAACCAAGAATATAACTGGCCTGAGAGTTCACCAAGTTCGCTCATCCTCCACCTTCCCCCAAACAAAATGTATATTTTTTTCATGTACAAATGTCAATCACGTGTATTCGATTTATAAATCCAAGTGCATTGTAGCCTAAGCACTGCAGAGACAAAAGGGTGACATGGTCGGACTCTCACTTCCCTTTTTGGTGCCTTGCCACCTTGAATATATTTTTACTATCAGCCCTTGCTACTGGCAGGCTTTAAGGACAAAATCTGAGACTCTTTTTATTGTTCTGTACTTTATGTAAACTACACCAAATTGTCACTTGCTTATACACTACGGATATTTTAAAACGTGCTGCCTGATGTTAAACCATGTTTAGATTTTTTTTTTACAAAATCAATTGAAAGCACTTCCTTTGATTGACCATGCAGAATTGTTTTTAGAAAATCCATACATATGGCCAAATGGTTCGAAATGATATCACTCTAAAATGCAGCCAGTCTCTGAATTATCCTTGACACCCGTGAACTGTAATACTCAACGAAAGATAAATTCAAAGGAACACAGATTTTGTTTTCAGATAGATGCACCTGCGTTTACATCCCTAAGGATTGTGTCTCATCACAAACAGTGATTGCTTACAAACACGTTAGCCCTTCGCAGTCTTTATTTATCCTGCAGAAATCCGATGAGCCATGAAGCTCTTTTTCACAGATGTCCAGTAGGGGCGGGTCAGCAAACAGAAAACATCAATGCCTTAAAGTTGTCAATTTAATGTACAGTATATCTGTACATAGGGAATTATGTAAAATGCTGAATATCTATCAAAACAACTCGTTTATCGTGATTATCCTACTTCTGCAGCATTGAAAATGTGTTCACGCCATAGAGTTCGAGATAAAATGTGACTGTGAAATTGACTGACAACTTGCAATTTGGGATTGAATGAACATTACCTCAAAATTGCACCTCGTAACCTGCAAAGGACATCATCCAAGACATCAGAGCCTCACTACATTTTCGCACACGCACGCCACATTTCCATTTGCACTCACACCTCTCAAGCGTGAGGGGGAAGTGCGAGTTGTTGAGCACCCCAAAAACCGCACGGCATTGCTGGACCCCAAACGGAACGTTGCGGGGTTTCGCAGGCGGCATGGAGCGAGTCATGAGACACGCGTTCAGCCTGGCGCGGCACACGCACCATGCGCTCGCGTCGCTGCATCACGGCAACGGGCGCCCCGCTGTGCGGCTCTACGGGGCCACAGACTACGAGGATCCCAGCACTCAGGGTGCCATCATCGCCTTCAATGTGCTGGGGCCTGACAGCGACATCGTTGGGTACTCGCAGGTGAAGCGGAGAGGCGCCGTAGGGAAAGCGGAGTATAATGCCGATCTCGTCAAGGAGCATAAACCATCACGCAAACTCCGGGCATCTTCGCAGCGGCTTTTGGCTGGCCATTGAGCAAAGGCGGTCAATGCATCGCGCGCTTTCAGATGCGCTTCGGCAGCCGTCTGGAACGCTCTTCCAATATTGGGAAGCCACCGGAGCTATGCCCTTTTCAATCGAGATTGAAAACTCATTTCTTTAGAACAGCTTTTTATGTTTAATTTGTTGTCCTCCCCCTGCACCTACAATTAGCACGGTTGGCTACGTACGGTGCGATAGAAATTCAACGTACATACGGGGGTGCGGCCGAGCCCACCGCGAGGGCGCCTTCTGAGAGTCGGCATCTAACGTGCGTGCATGTGCAACGAGATGTTAATGTTTCGGGAGCTGCACTTGCGGTGGTGTAGAAGCACAGGTGGAAAAATGCCTGACCACCACCATTGTCATTAACGAATGCAGCAGTATAACACATTTCTACATTCTAACGTTTTAGCTCTTAGTGCTTGATCAAAGCAGAAGACAAGCTCGTCCGTTATAATAAGTGCATGTAGAAACAATAAACTACTTTTTACGACGTGCACAACAAAGACAGTCGGCAAACACTTTTTTGCAGAGAGAATATGGACTTTGTCGAGCATTGAGTACATTATTACTAATACATATTGAAATTCTGGGGAGGGGTGGTTGCTATGTAGACAATCTCATATCATTAATATGGACAATCTTATTTTCTTAGCTCTTTCGGTAAAGTCACGTTGAAGGGAAACAATAAAATAATACAATAATTTATAATTCATATTACTGACTGCAGTAATATGAATTACTGCAGTCACGAAAGCTTTAAATCGAAATGGACAATCTTGTTGCATCCTGGGACCGTGGAGGATGGCAGTGAATTTGGGATGTCTTCATCCAGCAGTGTATTTGATCTTGGCTAATTATGATGTTTGTGATGAACAATCTTACCCGCGCCAATGCAATGTGTTTCCCGGATGTCGTTAACGTCAGGTGGACCAGCTGGCTAACCTGCACGGGATCTGCCTGCGCACTGGCTGCTTTTGCAACACAGGGGCCTGCCAGATGCAGCTGGGAATCAGCAATGGGGATGTGAAGAAAAACCTGCAGGTGACGCTCAACAAAGTTTTTTTTTTTTGTCACTGCGTGGGTATTCGCAGTGGCGTTGTGTAGCTCTCTGATGTATTTTCGGGTTGTTACCGCTTGTTGTTCGGCATGATGCCCGACCTTTTGCTCCACACGCTGGGAGCATCTTACGGAACTGGGAGCACGTGGAGCGGGTCTACCAGACATCTGTGAAAAAGAGCTTCATAGCTCTGGATATCTCAGTAAAGATTCTGATTCAGGTATTGAATCGTCGTACGACCAGAAAGCATATCAGAGAGCAACAGCCCAGATGCCTCAGTGGTGTTCTACTGTCGTATCATCACTGAATGGCGGTTGATTTATGCTTGTAACATTTTTATTTTTCACATATTTTCCTTGATATGTACATATGTTGAACTTCTTTCGCACCGTACATAGCCAACCGTGCTAATAGGAGATCCCATGTCAGTTCCATGTCAGTGTCATGTCTGAGATCCTTTCAAGTGACCACTGGTGCACATAATGCACTCAATGGTAATGCTTCATTTTCCTACCAGCCTTACCAGATAGAGTAACATTTGTCACATGACAGTCAAATAAAGTGCAGAAACATACCAAAACTGTTTTATTTTTTCTTCTTCTTTGGTTCTTTCGGTAAAGTCACGTAGAATGAGAATAAAGTAATAAATTGATAAAATAAAATAACACAATAATATTCTCACGACGTTTCGGCCACAACACAAGCGGCCTTCATCAGGTGAAGGGGACGAGACTGTCTGGAGGACAGCGCTGGAGTGAGAAAGCCACGCTGAGATCACGACCTTTAAGCTGTGTGAGAAGAAACAAAGCGCCTTGACAAAGGAATTAGCATAGAATTTAGCATTGAAATAGCTAAGTTAGCTTAGCTATTTCAAAGTTAACTTAGCTATTTCAAGTTAGCTTAGCTATTTCAAAGTTAACTTAGCTATTTAAATGCTAAATTCTATGCTAATTCCTTTGTCAAGGGGTGACTTTGCGGATGTGTATGCTTTAACATAGCCTTTTCTGTGACCAGTCACAAGCTAATCACTCGGCCATTTCAATGCTAAATTATATGCTAATTCCTTTGTCAAGGCGCTTTGTTTCTTCTCACACAGCTTAAAGGTCGTGATCTCAGCGTGGCTTTCTCACTCCAGCGCTGTCCTCCAGACAGTCTCGTCCCCTTCACCTGATGAAGGCCGCTTGTGTTGTGGCCGAAACGTCGTGAGAATATTATTGTGTTATTTTATTTGATCAATTTATTATTTTATTCTCATTTTACGTGACTTTACCGAAAGAACCAAAGAAGATGAATCCTTGCAGTCACGAAAGCTTTAAATCGAAATGTTTTCTTTTTGTTTGTGCAATTATTCGTGACCAAGCAGAGACTATCAGCTTACTCCACATGAGAACCCAGTTTAATGGAAGGCGGTTGCTTGGATTCGAACCCAGGTTCTCGGTGGTTTGACCTCTGAGCCGCTCTGTTGTGACTCGGTGGCTTTAAAATAAAACGCACAATTTCCATGTTCATGAATAGTCACGTACAAAAGGAAGTCACAAGACATATCTCAATTTGCATTTAAACCGTTACTGTGAATGTGAACAGTAGTTAGCTGGCATGAATGATGGTAGACTAGAGTAACACAGCACCGCGTGAACTGAAACAAAGCATCACCGCGGAAACTCGCTGTTCACATTAATTATCCTGCCTCCAGTAATATTCAGTTAATTTATAGTGACGGGTGCAAAAAAGTAATATATGAACACTTATTTTATGTGCTTAATTACTAATTTACCTATGATCATCTCCTATAAGTGTGTGCCCTAATTTTTTTTCACAACCTACAGAGTTGTGGAAGTGTCACATCTTAAGTGCGCTGCTATGTTCACTTGCCTGTTGTGCCCGCCTGTGCCTCTCCTTACATATCTTCCTGCACGTCTCCCCTGCCCACCCCTCGTGCTCACACGGCGTGCCCTGTGCAGGCCGGCCATGTGTGCGGAGACAACATAGACCTGCTGGATGGCCGCCCCACGGGTGCCGTGCGTGTCTCCTTCGGGTACATGTCCACCTTCCACGACGCGGCCCGTCTCATCCGCTTCATCACTCGGTGCTTCGTGGAGGAACGTCTGCCCTGCACCGCCGCAGCCGCCGCCGCCGCCGCCGCCGTGGACATCCGTCACGGCCACAACAAGGAGGGCACGAGTCCGGAAAAAGCGGCCGGCACAGGTTCAGAGGAGCTCTGGTCATGTCCAGTTCGTGCCGTCGACCGGGGGCTGGCGTCTCCGAGCTTCGGTGCGGCGTGCGACGTAGGCCAGGCCATGTGCCCTTTGGACGTAAAGGCGGACGGAGCTCAGCAGGAGACATTGTCCCGCAGCATCGCTGACGCTAACGCGGCCAAAAGTTCAATAGCAGATGGCCGTCAAGTGGTCCTGACCAACATCTTTCTCTACCCCGTAAAGTCCTGCGCCGCTTTTGAGGTGCGTATCTCCAGTCCAAGGTGGGCTCTGGGCACATGGCTTTGGCACACGCAGCCATGAGTTGGGTTGCTTCAACCCGACACGCCAACCTTCATAAGTTGTTGGCAGAGGACCTAGCCTCTTTAAGCTGCTTTTGATAGAGTTGTTACTCTTTGCCTGGCAGACGAAATGTGCCTGCCTGACATCCGTCAACAATGAATGCATAGCTGGTTGGTTGGCAGGGAGTGCTGTACTGAAAAAATTAAACCCAAAAGACTCACCCCGCCTGCATTAATCCTTAAATTTTGTCCGTCTCTAAATTGCTTGAACCTTTTTGATTAATTAATGAACTGCATAGTGGAATTAGCCATACAGATCATATTCTCAAATAAGTTTTGTAATATTGCTTTATAAGTTAATTAAATCTTTTGTTTTGATGTCGGCTGCAGGCAATGATCGTCAATTTTACTAATTGACCTAACGCTGAGTGTGAAGGTATAGCAACAAATGAAAGGGTATGACTAGATGTGAAAGCTGTTAAAGCTTAAACCTTGCACTACATCCCAATGTTTAATATCACACTTAGAGACGAGTTCAGCATTTAATTAATCATAATCAGATTCTTTATTTAGACTGGAGGAATCCGATGAGCTACAAATTGCATGAGTACATGCAAAAGGTTTCTGTTTGGTGTTTGAACATCTTAACAACTGTTTCATTGCCAGAAAGGGTATAATCTATTCTTATGCATACATTCGTGCTGATTTTTCTACACTAAATGTGAATAGTGGCTGTCTGACCGCTCTCATACCATTCATGTACTCCCAATTAAAATAACCTATTTAAATTTCCAGCCTAAACAGTTAAAACATGAGGCATGTTTTAATGCAATATTGCTCCTGCCTACCTATCAAGAAGTAGTTATTTGATACTACAGTGAGCTTATTTGTGGATTACTTGAGGTGGGGTAATAATGTGACCTCCTCATCACAATGGTTTTTGCTATTCCAACCAGCCTGAAATGCTAGACTACATTTCCTTCATACAGATGAGTATGATTGTTTTTGTGTGTACTGACATTTTCAACTGTAGATTAGTGTGGAGGGGTGTTGAGGGCAATGCCATAGGGATTGTTGAGTTCGATTCCCAGCCATGGCTAACATCGGTGGTGAGTGGCACTGTATACACACCGGCTTTGCGCACCCCCACTTCACTGATCTGCGCTGCCCAGCGAGGTGAAGTATGGTTCATTAAACCCCCATGATCGACACAGCGTGGAGGTGCCTTCATCCAGCAGTGAATTTCCAAAGAGCTGCGAGTTATATATATATTTGCAGGCTATTTTGCAGGTTTACCCATTGTTGATGCGCAAAGTGCTCTCTCCGTGTGCTGTTCCGAAGCATCGGCCACGACAGCAGCAAGCCAACGCTTTGTGACCAAGCCAATCCCCGAAATGCACCCGGAACCCATTCAGAGTCACTACAGGACTCTTAAATGCAAAGACATGTGACGTGCGGCATGCCGTCAGGGCACTCGGTTGTAAGCAAGAGCCATTTTCAGAACCTTATTACATTTGGATCGATCGCAGGACCCTGTGAACGCCCTTCTGCAAACCCGGCCCCATTTCACTTACGTCCATGACACATCCATTTTCTTCAGACGGCCTTGCTGTTTCCGTAATGGTTTTAGGAACACTTGGGCCCCTGAGTTTCTGAACGCCACGTGTATTGCAGTCCACAGGTGCTGTTCCTTAAAAAAATGTCTGGCACATTCTAATAAAAATGTTCAATATTTCTAACGATTAACTCACGAAAACTGTAAATGCACGACGTTTACAGAAATTGAAGTTAACTTGTCCTGCAGCTCTACCCATAATTGTGTGTATTTTTTTTTTATAACATCTGATGTTTCATCAGTTGTTGGCTAGGCTGTTCGCAGTGTGCTGTACAAACAGCCTGCCTTCTGTAGAATATAAAAACAAAACTGTAATCCTTTTTTCAAATTTTTTTGCAGTGGTTTTCACACCTGATGATGATTGCTTGTGTTGCAGTCGAAACGTCGTGAGAATTTTATTGTTTTATATATTTTTTATTTTATTGTTTCCCTTCTACGTGACTTTACCGAAAGCACCAAGAATATGTAATCCTATACTCAGGAAAGCCTCACAAAGTTTCTAGATTAATTAAAGTTGGGGCTTGCAAGGGATACTTAGCAATTTCCTTTTTAATGCTTTCTAATATTGGTTGAAAGTGTTTATGCATTTGCTCTGTCTGCCTAGAAGAGAAGTGGGTGCACAATAGCTCTCAGCATGATTATGCAATATGTACACAACTTAAATTCAAAATTCTGTTGCCAAATGGAATTACCCTATTAAAAACCCTCAAAATTTGTTTATGGATTGCCAAAATATGTCCATATTTTGGAAACAGTATTCTGTTCCATAGACGCTGTAATTTTAATGATCAAAATGGTATTGCTCATCCATGCTTTGTGTCTAAATGACACCACTTGTGCTGGTTGTTTTATTCTTTATTTAACCAGGACATGAATAAACCCATTGACACACACGTAAACATTGCCTTTTTTGCAAGTGGGACCTGGACCAAACCACTCATCCAAGAGTTTTTAGGACGGTGACACCAGGCGTTACTGGTCGACCGAATTCTGACACTTCCGTTTATATTTTGCACGTCCATTTTTTTTTCATGAACTAAGAGTTTCCTGGCCATGCACTATTTATCAGTGTCTCTGCTTGAGTGTTTCACAAGTCTTTTTTTAAGCAGCCTCTGAGTGTAGTATGAATTTGTTCTTGCTCATGCATATTTAAGTATGCGTGTATGGGTATGTGCATGTGTGACTGTGTACGTGCAGATGTATGCTTGTTGAAATGATTGTGTGCAAGTGTGTAGGTGGATGTGTGTGATAATGTAGCAGTTAGCACACTCCGCTATGAAATTGGTGACCCACATTCAATTGACGCTTATGGCTAACATCAATGGCGGATATCTGAACCAGTCCTGGGCCTTGTGTAGGTCAACTTAATCTGAAATTAGTACCTAGTGCAGGATTTAAACATTGCCACTTGGGAGACGAAGGCAACCAGGTGTGTTCCTGGCCACACCACCCGTGCTGGCCTTCATAGGTGCTCGCCTTCAGCACTTGCCCCCAACAGCCCTTGTATACACAATAAGAAAAATCATTGTCTTTTATATGCAATGTGTGTGTTTGTGTACCTGTGCACACATTCCATGTCAGTTAGTTCAATTGTAGTGCATGGGTCTCTTCCAGGACCTCCTGTTAGCTAGCTTTCAATACTTCACATCACCTCAAAGTGCATCTAGCCGAGTGCAAGCACTGTAGTTATGGCATCACCACCACTGAGGGGTGAATAGCACCCTTTGTCGTGCACGTGTCTGTGTTGAAAAAATGGGGAGCACAGGTGGTATCTGCCAGTCATCTTAGTCAATTAACCCATAACACATGGGGCTATATTTTAACCTGCCAGCAAGCCATTCACACTTCATGTGGGCTCAGAGTACACCAAGCCCGGCACAAATGCAGTGGCAAGGTTGCTGCAACTTACAGTGAGGGAAAAGAGTATTTGATCCCCTGCTGATTTTGTACGTTTGCGCACTGACAAAGAAATGATCAGCCTATAATTTTAATGGTAGGTTTATTTGAACAGTGAGAGACAAAATAACAAAAATCCAGAAAAACGCATGTCAGAAATGTTATAAATTGATTTGTATTTTAATGAGGGAAATAAGTATTTGACCCCCTCTCAATCAGAAAGATTTCTGGCTCCCAGGTGTCTTTTATACAGGTAACGAGCTGAGATTAGGAGCACACTCTTAAAAGGAGTGCTCCTAATGTCAGCTTGTTACCTGTATAAAAGACACCTGTCCACAGAAGCAATCAAATTCCACTCTCCACCATGGCCAAGACCAAAAAGCTCTCCAAGGATGTCATGGACAAGATGGTAGACCTACACAAGGCTGGAATGGGCTACAAGACCATTGCCAAGCAGCTTGGTGAGAAGGTGACAACAGTTGGTGCGATTATTCGCAAATGGAAGAAACACAAAAGAACTGTCAATCTCCCTCGGCCCGGGGCTCCATGCAAGATCTCACCTCGTGGAGTTGCAATGATCATGAGAACGGTGAGGAATCAGCCCAGAACTACACGGGAGGATCTTGTCAATGATCAAGACAGCTGGGACCATAGTCACCAAGAAAACAATTGGTAACACACTACGCCGTGAAGGACTGAAATCTTGCAGCGCCCGCAAGGTCCCCCTGATCAAGAAAGCACATATACATGCCCGTCTTAAGTTTGCCAATGAACATCTGAATGATTCAGAGGACAACTGGGTGAAAGTGTTCTGGTCAGATGAGACCAAAATGGAGCTCTTTGGCATCAACTCAACTCGCCGTGTTTGGAGGAGGAGGAGGAATGCTGCCTATGACCCCAAGAACACCATCCCCACCGTCAAACATGGAGGTGGAAACATTATGCTTTTGGGGTGTTTTCTGCTAAGGGGACAGGACAACTTCACCGCATCAAAGGGACGATGGATGAGGCCATGTACCGTCATATCTTGGGTGAGAACCTCCTTCCCTCAGCCAGGGCATTGAAAATGGGTCGTGGATGGGTATTCCAGCATGACAATGACCCAAAACACGGCCAAGGCAACAAAGGAGTGGCTCAAGAAGAAGCACATTAAGGTCCTGGAGTGGCCTAGCCAGTCTCCAGACCTTAATCCCATAGAAAATCTGTGGAGGGAGCTGAAGGTTCGAGTTGCCAAACGTCAGCCTCGAAACCTTAATGACTTGGAGAAGATCTGCAAAGAGGAGTGGGACAATCCCTCCTGAGATGTGTGCAAACCTGGTGGCCAACTACAAGAAACGTCTGACCTCTGTGATTGCCACTAAGGGTTTTGCCACCAAGTGCTAAGTCATGTTTTGCAGAGGGGTCAAATACTTATTTCCCTCATTAAAATGCAAATCAATTTATAACATTTTTGACATGCGTTTTTCTGGATTTTTGTTGTTATTCTGTCTCTCACTGTTCAAATAAACCTACCATTAAAATTATAGACTGATCATTCCTTTGTCAGTGGGCAAACGTACAAAATCAGCAGGGGATCAAATACTTTTTTCCCCTCACTGTAGTGGTGAATGGCGATTGTTGCCGTTGTGCGTGGGTTGCAAGTGGAAGAGCAGGCTTTGTGGTGTGTATGCGTATCTGGGTGTATTCGTCGTTGTGTGGCGAGGCAGGTTGAGAGCTGGCCAGTGGTGGAGCAGGGCTTGTGGTGTGACCGCGTGTGGATGGTGGTCACGTCGGGAGGGACCTGCCTCAGCCAAAAGCGAGAGCCACGCCTCTGTCTGATCCGGCCCGCCGTCGACCGTACCACGGGGCAGCTGTCGCTCACCGCATCAGGTAGCACCAAGCCCAGCAACGATGGGCACCAGCATGTATGTGAAAGGATTCGGCTCGCGCAGGGTTCAGCAAAGGCTTCTTTATTTGACAACCCAAAAGGTAATGTGCCCAGTCACACAGCAGGTGCGTTCTTTACCACCTCGGCGCTCCCGCACTCAGAACTCCTGCTCTCCCCCCTTTATCCCCTGGTCTGCGTTCTTTGCCAGGCAATAGTTGCCCAGGACTTTGTTCTAGAAGATGACTCACTGATTAAGCATCTGTGAGTCTCCTATCAAATCTCTGCACGGGACTTTGCCCCAGGTTATGATTAACTAGCTGGGTGCGATCCAACATGTGTTGAGATTCTTTCACGCCGTATGGAGCGAACCATGATAAAGTGGCGGTGCTGCATGGTGGCGCACACCTCTAAGCCAGCGTGTTGAGGGGAGGGTTAGAGGATCACACCGAGATCACACGCGTGATCTTCCCACGTTAAGCACATTTGGGTGCATATTTATGTGGCAGAGACGTGTTGGTCAGATAAATAATTTGTTGCCAGGGTTACCTGTGAACCAATGAAGCAGTTGTTGCCAGACTTTACAAGAGTTTTTTTTTAATAATATGTTGCTAATGTTTGTGAGTGTGAAGCCAAGTACTTGATACTGCCGTAATAAATATATATTTTTACAGAATTATGAGCTTGACCTCAAGACTCTTAATACAAATTAGTAAATGCCTTTGTCAATAATATTTAGATTGTCTTCCAATTAAATAACCATATTTTATGACATACCTTAGAAGTGGCAATTGAGTTGCATTTTACAGAAATAAACCATGGAGTTTACATATTGATAAAGTTGGCACAGTAATTCTAAACTTGAGTACATCTATCCTTGTCTCTCCCATGAAGGAATGAAGGTTTTGGTGGTTCCCTTGCGAGGAGCCGCAGAGGCGGCTAGTATGGACGTACGCCTGTGTCACAGCAAGGTGTGCGGTGCCAGGTACGCAACTGTGTACGGACACACACATATATATAACATATGTATATAAACGCAGGTGCACATCTTCCAACACACAGATTGCCTGATACTAGCACGATTTTATCGGCGCTATTGCACAATACGTACGCATAAAATGAGCGTAATGTAGCTCTGATCTGGTGGAATTCACTTCAGTCATGCATCATTTAGTAAAGCAGGCCTTTTCATAAGCCACGTTACAATGCTAGTGTTGATGTGTTTGGCGAGCATAGGACTAGCTCGGTGCCAGTGGGTATAACCCTCCATCTGTTGGACGCGCACACACTAAAACGCGTATTAATTGCACGTGGTTATGCATTCATTAGAACCATGTACAAAGTCAATTAGAGTATTGTATTTGCACTCAGATGCAGTGCTTGGTCTGCATTGTTTCACCTACCTTAATTCACTCCGATTTTAGCATTTCTGTGTGGTTCACTTTTTTCCATGTTATTGGACAGTTTTATTGATGATAAATAGTTAAAGCATTTTGACAAATGATGTAGTTGAGTCCCATCAGCCGACGTTTTTCCCTATGGGAATCCCTTTGTTTTTGTACTTGGGAAGGCACCTTAATGCAATGGTTAGCACCCTGGACTCACAATCCATGTCGCCGATTCCATCACCCCCCCCCTCCCCCCCGCACTTGAAACAATGGGCACATTTCGTAAATTCCTCCCGCCTCTTGTCTATCCTGCAGTATAATGTGATACACCACCGTTTGGTTGGCAGATCGTGTGTGTGTGGGGTGAAGTGTGGGTACTCTCACCTCTAACAGTGGGACCAAAATACCCTCCAGAGGGGGCTCTCTAAGAGTGGAGGCCCTTCTGCCAAATGCAGGGCTGCACGCTGACCCTTATTATCTGTGTGTATGAGAATAGGGTTTCCCCTTCTTCTCTGGCAACAAAACAGGAGTTAAGATGTTAAAACACCAAACTTAAATCTTTTACAAGGAATCATGTCTGCATTAACCACAATACTTGTGGTCAGAATGCAAACAAAAAACGTACTCTGATAATATATGCATTGTCTTTGAAACTGATTGGTCCACACCAGAGAAGGCTTTCTTTCGAGCCTAGTCTCAAACGGTGTTAGAATGTTAAAGAAGATCAGGCTAAACATTGTTGTAAACGTAACACGTGACTGTGACTGTACCATCAGTGTTATTTATTTGTCCAGGAAAGCCTCACGGAGACTCAAGTGATTTATTCTGACAGGTCCTGCATGTCTTTTGGCATGTAAATGTTACGAATTACTTCAGAAAAAAAACTATTTTGCAAAATATAAAAAGTAGGTCAAAATGAATGAGATATTGACAGAATGCAAATTAATTTTTCCAATCTGAAAAAATTCCTGTGAGCAGCATGGGGATCCAGGGCCCTCCTGGGATGTCGCTTTAAAATGGAATTTTAATTTGTCAATTCCACGTGATTCACACTCCCATCCTTTCTCAAGGGCTGCTAATTGGTTTGAAATCAGACGTACTGCTCAGGTTTAAATTTAGCAGCGTACATTTCTCGAATGTTTTTCTAAACCAAGCTACTGTACACCTTCACAGCTGATAACAACATTAAACGACTTCCAGATCAGCCAGCCCAAGATATTTTCCGATTGCGGATGAAATAGAGGATGCTGTTTTTCCATGCCATAATACGTTTGTATTGACGTGTTTTTATCATTTGTCAATCCACTGCTGAAAGCCTCTGTGCCATGTCGGTCATAGCACATTGCTTGACCATTCTTCACCACACCGGTCGGTTGTGAGTTTGAGGAGGCAAGGATGGGTTCAGGTATCACTTGACACTGATGTTAGCCATGGCCGAAAATCAACTCGGGTAACGAGGTTCATAGCGCAGTGTACGAACCACTGCACAACCACTCCACCTAGCTTACAGTATTCATAAATCGGAATATTGTATTAAAGTATTCATACATATCCCTTGTACGAGCAGATATTTAATTTAGCCCATACATTAGGATGTAGCGTTCTTGGTTGTAAATGTGGCCCACGTCTTGCCAGAAATCCCCTGGCCCAGGTCTCTGCAGAGACTTCGTTGACATCACTCGCACAAGGAGGTCATTATTTAGCAGCAACATAGTCCAGACCACAAATGTTACCTGCAACAAACGTAAAAAATGTACAGCCTTCCTTGTAAGAAAATACACTGTAGTTTAACAGACTCCCACGTAATTTCAAATAATGAACATTTTATTCACAAATGCAGTACTGTGTATATAAAATGTTGTTTTGTAATTTAATGCTCCCCACTATCACCAGTCCACACATACCGGTGTTGTGAAGTATGGTCAAATAACCACAACCTGCATGGCGTGAGGAGACCTTCATACAACAGTCGACTGACAAAGGGTTGTAATGTTTTTGTTAAATGTACATACAAAGTAAGTACATTCATCATGGGTACTATTTACCCTTTTGACCTGAAATGGCGCACAGCTGGAAGTATGTTATTGCCATTGAAAATGTAGGAAAGTGCATACCATGGGAAATAAAAAAATACCAAAAAAACTATTGCAATGTGGTTTTGAAACTGCAGTTGCTTGGCTACACCACGGGTTAGTTATCCTCATTATCGAATCCTCTCTACTCATTAGATAGTCACCATTCCACGACTTAATTGTGCAGAAATCTTGGAAGTGCTGGACTGGAATTGAGGTTGGAAGCCTGGAGCCTGGGATGCATTGCTTTGGAGGATGTATTATTTCACACTGTGAATCACTGTTTTCCACTTCATTTTCACTGAAGCAAAGGCTGCCTCATCAAAATGTATCAACCCTTTTGGTGATATTGCCAAGCTGGAATTTGCCACAGGCTGTGCATAATCCCACACCTTTATTACACCCGTATATCACATCTGCAAAATCCCACTATGCGAGCACTCAAAGCTTCCTTTCCCAACAGAACAATGATAACCATATGTGAGCTGCTGTGTTGTTGCCACTTTCAGTAAAACCATTGGCATCCCCGAGGCTCAGGTGTCAGACTTTTGGCACGGAGGGATGGACTGACGACACATGCCATTAGCTCAAAACATGACCTGCTGTGGTGCTAGCAATTCAGCGTCGCGTCTTGTATAGGTTCCTGCCAGTATTTTTTTTTACATTGTGGTGACTGCAAGGTGAGGAAGAGGAGCAGGAGGCACGAATTTAGCCTTTCGTCATGATGTGTGTCTGTCTCCTCGCTCAGGGTCACTGGCCTGGACTGTGAAGATGAGGCAGCCGAGTGGCTGACAGAATTCCTAGGGAAGAGCTGTCGCCTGATTCAGCAGGACCCAAGATCCAATCGCACAATGAAAGCAAAAGGTTAGGGGGAATGCCGCTCCTTTGGCATGAATTGCTGCCTCACCACTCGTTGCCTTGTTTGTATGTCATCTTTGACAATAATATTATTGCAGCTGCTTAAGTGGCTTAGCGCCACTAGCAGAAAAAAATCCATAACATTTTCACATCATTGGCACTGCGTTTTGTATTGGTGCGAAAATTATTAATCTTGAACCATCATCCAAAGTGTGCATATTTATATGAAATCCAGAAAAATACTCTTCTCTTGTAACCACAGTAGATAACACATTTGTTGATGTTTGATATGTAGATCTGTAAATATATAATACGTATTAGATATATACACACACACACACACATTCTAGATGGGCTCTATAGAACTCAATCTAGTGAAGGCCCTTTCATCAGCATTGGCATGAGCAAACCATTGCAAGCCTGCAACTTTATCCTTTAGCTTTATATTACACGGAAAACCGCGATCGCATTGGACCAGCAGTGATGCACTGTTATTTTCTGCTGCCGTGTTGTGTGTGTGATAGGCCAGAGGCAGGCGGGAGGTGGTGCGGAGGCAGGGGCCAGCCTTTCTCTGGCCAACGAAGCCCAGTACCTGCTGGTGAATCGCACCAGCGTGGCGGACCTACTCTGCAACGTTCACGAGAGGTGCCAATCTGGGGTCTTGTTACATTAATAACAAGCCTTTGTCCGCAATACGTCTTGGAAGTTGCGTTCGTTAAAAATTGGCAAAATAAAAGGGGAAATTAATTTGACATGCAAAGAAACAAACGTGTCAAATTGAGCACCACGGGGGGAGGAGGAGGGGGTGCATGTGTTAATGCTTTTTTAACGATTTAATTCAATTCTGTGTTTGGACACCATGCTTAAGCCTCTTGTTAATGAACTATTGCACATGCCCAACACATGCTAATAACAAAGGATAGCTTATTGAATGTATATGGACAGTATTTCCAAAATCACAAAAACTAATGATTTATGGCAAGTATTTGTAGAGGTGTTAACTACGCACTGTTCGGTAACCTGCATTGCCACCAGATATCAAAGGGGCAGTGCAGCGTTACCTCTGGGTACAACGGTTGGGGTCAGACGAGGTGAAGTGGATCGTAGCCACGGTTTGGTAAGAACCAATCAGACAGTTCCACGTGGGAATGTGCGATTGGGGTCAGACGAGGTGAAGTGGATCGTAGCCACGGTTTGGTAAGAACCAATCAGACAGTTCCACGTGGGAATGTGCGATTGGTTCTACCTGGTCACGAACGAGTATAAGAAGGGTGACCCAACAGAGCTCGGGGAGTTCTCTCCCTACACGAAGACCGAAGCCCGGGCTGAAGACTAGCTAGGACCCTGGACCAGCCTTCCAGCCCTTCTGAGGGCTAAGGCTCGGGTACCCAGTGGTCAGGACCCACCGGGCCAGCGGTGGGTCAGATAGCCTCCCCTAGGTCCCAGCCGGAGGACTCTAGAATAGCGGTAGACGTGTAAGTCCCGCCAAGCTAGGAGGCTGTACCTCCTTAGGCTAGAATAGCGGTAGACGTGTAAGTCCCGCCAAGATAGGAGGCTGTACCTCCTTAGGCTAGAATAGCGGTAGACGTGTAAGTCCCGCCAAGATAGGAGGCTGTACCTCCTTAGGTATCAAGGAGACCTGTGTGTAGGTTACGCTGAGTCCGGAGGACGTACCACCTTGGGGTATCGGGTGAGGGGACCGGATACCCCTCTGTGTGTGTTAAGGATTGTATGAGGAAAGAATAACAATAAACAGAGTGTGCCTCCTAAGAAGTTACTCGTCTTTATAAACACTACATTAATTCATTAATTTTTATTTAAAGCTTTCGTGACTGCAGTGATTCTTATTCTTAGTTCTTTCGGGAAAGTCACGTTGAAGGGAAACAATAAAATATATATAAAAAATAAAATTCTCACGACGTTTCAACTGTAACATAAACAGTCATAAGGTGTGAAAACCAACGGCAAGAAACATTTGAAAAAAGTGGCGGTTTGTATTTATTTATTTTCAAACGGTGTTTGCATTTATTTATTTTTAAGCCTTGGCTCCATGGATAGCGATTTGACAGTTTGTTTAGAAGGACGAGTCCATCTATGTTCGGAAAAGAGGAGGAGGGAGACGAAAATAATGGATACGGTCTGAAAGCCACCGTAAGCGTGAACAATCAATTAAGACCCGAACTGGTTTATCAAATCCTTCCAATGATTGCTAAGCCAGAATCCATCTTCTCGGTTTAAATTGTCTCTGTGTTTGTATATGTGGATAGCCTCATGAACGAATCTCTCATGGTAGCCAGATGGCTTGCAGAGAACCTCTGTCTTGGAGAAGTCAATGTCATGTGAGCCCACTGAATTATAACAGTGATCTGCCACGGCCGAGGTGTTGGTCCTACCGTGTTTAAGGTCTGCTTTGTGTTCACGAATGTGGTCCGAGACATGTCGTTTGGTTTCTCCAATGTAACTACTACCACAGAGGCAACTTAGTTTGTAGACACCAGGGTACTGTATGTCCGGAATCACATCTTTTACAGACGGAACCAGATCACGGATTTTATGTAATGTGTTGAAACGGGGATCACAAAAAAGATCTCCAAAATCTTGAATAAACACAAGATCCAGGTCCGTTTCAACACATTACATAAAATCCGTGATCTGGTTCCGTCTGTAAAAGATGTGATTCCGGACATACAGTACCCTGGTGTCTACAAACTAAGTTGCCTCTGTGGTAGTAGTTACATTGGAGAAACCAAACGACATGTCTCGGACCACATTCGTGAACACAAAGCAGACCTTAAACACGGTAGGACCAACACCTCGGCCGTGGCAGATCACTGTTATAATACAGTGGGCTCACATGACATTGACTTCTCCAAGACAGAGGTTCTCTGCAAGCCATCTGGCTACCATGAGAGATTCGTTCATGAGGCTATCCACATATACAAACACAGAGACAATTTAAACCGAGAAGATGGATTCTGGCTTAGCAATCATTGGGAGGATTTGATAAACCATTTCGGGTCTTAATTGATTGTTCACGCTTACGGTGGCTTTCAGACCGCATCCATTATTTTCGTCTCCCCCCTCCTCTTTTCCGAACATAGATGGACTCGTCCTTCTAAACAAACTGTCAAATCGCTATCCATGGTGCCAACGCTTAAAAATCAATAAATACAAACCGCCACTTCTTTCAAATGTTTCTTGCCGTTGGTTTTCACACCTGATGATGACTGTTGGTGTTACAGTCGAAACGTCGTGAGAATTTAATTTTTTATATATATTTTATTATCTTATTGTTTCCCTTCAACGTGACTTTACCGAAAGAACCAAGAATATGAAACACTACATATTCAAGGCAAGTTGTCAAAAATAATGTCAACCCCACGGAGCTTACATTATACAAAGACGTGAACAATGCAGTTGTGCACTCGAAATTTGAACACCAGGAACAAGACAAAAACCCCTGTTTAATGATAACAAAGCACACAAGGGGATGGTGTGGCCACACACACCTGGCCACCTTTGTCTTCCCAGTTATGTTGATTACATCAAATGGATTTCACAGTTCATCCACCCAGCGATTATTTGAATGGTCCCGATTCATGGTCAGAGTTTAATTCAAATAAATCTTTGGTCTTATATTTGCCATCTCATTTGAATTGTTATGCTTTCCCTGTCGTGTACAGGTTACACAGTTTTGTTTATACGATTACCCTAAAGGTTAGAGTTAACATAGTGTTATCATTTACATGATGATAACATGAAATAATAAAATAATTAATCCCAGATTGCTAGGATCATAGCATAATGCCTGAACCACTACAACCCCACAATCACACATACCACAATACATTTATTGTAATCTGCCATACCCATACGTACCCACGGACTCGGAAATATATTGTGTCATGTTGAATCGATGTAAGGGGAAGCCCATGATCAGCTCGCCAATGAGGTTGGCCATGGTTTGGAATCAAATTCAGGTTTCTGGGTTTGTAGTACATTGTGCTAACGACTGCACCACCACTCCCACCCCACACACAAGGACAGAGATCCCCCATGTAGCCTTCACGGGCTGTTGGGGTAAGTGCTGTTAGCGAGCGCCCTCCAAACACACGAAAACACAGGTGTGCGTGTGTGCGTGCTCAGGCAGGGAGAGGTGGGAGGACCCCCAGCACTTGACATGGAGGCGCTGGTGAATCGATTTCGAGCCAACCTGGTCGTTAGAAGCGACGAGCCTTATCAAGAGGACTGCTGGGCAACCGTCTCCATCGGAGCCCTGATTTTTCAGGTCCATTCACCCTTTCTCCTCCGTGTGTCATGTGCTTACTGCTTGCATGCTGGCTTTCCCCTTTCGGTTTTGCATCCTGTATTTTCATTGCACGGTGGCGTTTTTGCACCGGGGATCGCTTTTGCCTCTCAGCCAGCTGCCCCGTCTTATTTGGTGATTATGCGGGCGTTCGCATGGATGTCGCGTTCTTTATTTGAGCTCCGTTGTCAATGCCTTAAAGCACCAATTCCATTTGTTACAGCACTATAGCAATTGGTGGGGGGGGGGGGGCCGGGGGACCCGAGTTGCCCCTGTTGAACTCGGCTCCCCCCCTCCTATCTAGATTTCTTTTGGTGTGGTAATGACTGTGTTCCACACATTTTAATGGCTGCTCAGACACAGCCGTATCTGGCGTTTAATTTGCGAGCTCTACTTGACGATATGCAAACAACCTGCAATCATTTCAGAGGAGGTGGGTTAAGTGATGGGGGTGCCGCAGCCTTTTCTCATACACGCAGCGGGTGAGAGCTAGAGCAGAATGCACAAAACAAAAGCAGATCTTATAGATACTCATTCTGTTGAAAGTTTAACATTTGTGTAGTGTATCATGGGACCTCCTTTGCCAGTACTAAAATATAAGAATAGGTTTTTCCCCGTTTTTCTGGCAACAAAACTGAAACCTTTTTACGAGGAATGTTGTCTTCATTAACCACAATACTTGGTCAGAATGTTTTTTGTTGCATTCTGACAAGTATTGTGGTTAATGCAGACATCATTCCTTGTAAAAAAAGACTTCAGTTTTGTTGCCAGAAAAAAGGGGAAAAACCCATTCTTATTGCATGCTCTGTGTTGAGCAGCTGCTCAAATCTACTCGACTTGTGTTTGTTTCACTTTCGTTGCATCATTTATTCCTCATCTCGGTGCATCAACCCTGCACTGACCAGCAGGGTAAAGTATGGTAAAATAGCCCCCACGGCACAACGTGGTGAGATCCTCATCCAGCAGTGGATTAACAAAGGGCCGTATATGTACATAAATCCCAGTAGTATTCCTCTTACTGTTGGTAGTGTTTATATTAAATCTTGTCTTAAAGCTTTCGCGACTGCAGGAATTCATATTATTTGGGTCTTTCAGTAAAGTCACGTAGATAGGTTGAAAGAAAATAACAAAAAACCTACGACGCTTTAATCGCAACACAAGCGGTTGTCTTCAGGAAAAAGGGGGTTAGCTTCTAAAGACAACTGCTTATAAAGGTTTGAAATGTGCAGAGCCCAAATGTCAGCAGCCATTGCAAGTGGTGGGCAGCGACCACGGCGGTGGTGGGCTTTCCACCAATCAAAGTCCTGCCAGGCAAAAATTAGCATGTCAATGCAAGATCGCCGAGCATCCTCCATGGCCGAGCATGCCAAGGTGGCTATGTTAATGTAAGAGATTAGCATGTTCATGGTGGATCGTGCAGCAGCAGTCTCGAGGATGGCGTGCGAGATAGCTGTGTTAGTGATAAATGTAATCATGATTAACATAGCCACCTTGGCACGCTCGGCCGTGGAAGATGCTCGGCGATCTTGCATTGACATGCTAATCTTTGCCTGGCAGCACTTTGATTGGTGGAAAGCCCACCACCGCCACGGACGCTGCCCACCACTTACATTGGCTGCTGACATCTGGGCTATGCCCATTTTAAACCTTTATAAGCAGTTGTCTTTAGAAGCCAACCCCCTTTTTCCTGATGACAACCGCTTGTGTTGCGATCGAAACGTCGTAGTTTTTTAAAATTATTTTTCTTTGAACCTATCTACGTGACTTTACCGAAACACCCAAAGAATAGTGTTTATATTCTCATACTCAAGTGTAAAACTGGCATCAACAACAAAAGCTTTATTTTGTATTCATATCACCTGCTATGATTTTATGACTCACTGGAGGACCATATAGATGTGTTTCGTGATCATGCACCTGCTCATTTAAGCGTTGTCATATGTGCAGTTTAAATTGGCATTTCATGAACAGTTAATATTTTAACTGGCTAAAAATAACACGTTTGGGGCACATTTATCAAGGATATGGTGTCAGATTTGGAAAGAAAATAAGTTAATGGATATTTTTTTTCAGTTTCTCGATGAACAGATGTATGTTTGCATAGCATTATGGGAAACGGCAGGTATTAATATATGCTCACAGCATGCATATCAAGTCTGGGGCTGGAGGATAACTGCCTGCAGTAATGTGACATTGTGAGTTTTTTTTATAGAATGAAGAGGGGGCTATGTAGCCACATGTTTAGCCTCGTGGTAGTAGAGGCTGTCAAGTGTGCTTTGATGGCACCTGTAATGATGTGGTGGGCTTCAAGAATCCACAGCTTACAGTGTGTGCTTCACCGTGTTCCTCAGATCTGCAAAAATTTACAGGAAACCTATAATTATGAATTATATGCTACATTGCTTCCTTTTAATGGCATGGCAGCATGGAGTGTATGAATACTTCTCAAATTATGTGCTTTCTATGGAGAGACAAAATTAGTTTTCAAACTGTCACTGTGATAATGAGAACCAGGAAAAGCAGGCGTCTTGTCCCCTGTAAATTATGTATTACGCTAGACTTTTATAAAATGCTAACATCTCTTTGCATATGCATACAAGATAGCTGTATTTTCTTTTTACTTCTTTCCCGTCCTATAAATTAAGATTTGCTATTACTGTTAATTACCATGGTGTCATGTATTTTTTTCGCAAAATCACCACAACTTTTCCCCACACAGTCATTTCAATTAGGTACAAAATGGACCTTTAAGTAAAATATCATCTCGTGCGCAAACAATTCCACACTCGACGTCATTAAAAGTGCGGGATTGCTCTGCGAAAAATAAAGCTGATGCAACACACCCTTCTTGCAGGCTGCAAGCGTAATGAGCCGAGCGGGTAGCAGTCACGACAGCACATGACTCTCTCTGTGTTACTGTTTAATGCTCATTACCTGGCAATCGAAGCGATGCCGTCTTACCGTTTAAAATCATTACGTGCGCTCGTGTTGGGGTTGTGTAGTGGGGCGGGGGTTCAGAATCTCCCCCCCGCCACCCCCTGCGCCCACCTTGGCTGCTGGAGATGTGCACCCTGTGGCTTGAGTGGAAACATCACTCGCGTTCAACCGGCGGAGAGAGCGTCTCCGAGTCACTCACCGCGTCTCGGCGTGCGCCGCAGTTACCCGGCGATTATACTGGTAGGAACGAAGTTGTAAACGGAGTGTACCAGCCTGCAATAGATTAATGTGTCCGTCCATCCCCTTTCAATACTTTAACGAAGAGAAAAGTTCCAATGTTCCTACCAGCCCACCCTGCAGGGACCTGTTTTAAAAACAAAAACAGCCGAGATCCCGGGGGCCGCACCGCACAAAACGGAGGTCACCACAGCAGCCCAGCCAAACTCCCCCCCCCCCCCACCCCGCCATGAGCATGCTTAAGACAAATGGGGAGAAATACATATGCTACGTAACATTATGCTTGCAAGGACAGGAGAAGAAACAAAGCGACTTTATTCAACCTCACAACAGTCACATAATTCACTTGCATGTGCATTACTGTGCACTTTTTCTGCGACCAAATTGCCCCAAAATGTGTTTCGAGCTCATTATATCCCGGAAGCAAGACAGGTGGGCATTGTGGGCAGGGCAACATGATTGCAGCCCACAAGACGTGGAGTGGCCGCCCTTATCCAGCAGTGGATTGGACAAAATGGGCAGTACATGTGCAGTGCACTTTAACGACAGAGCTTGCAGCAGCGTTTAGTGCAGGGGTCGGGAACCTATGGCTCGCGAGCCAGATGTGGCTCTTTTGATGATTGCATATGGCTCGCAGATAAAACAAAATATTCTCACTTGTTTTAATCCATCCATCGATTTTTCACTGCGCATGTCCTGTTCAGGGCTGCAGGAGCAATTGTCCATTATTTTAATTGGATGATACTGGCCTACGTTTGCCGTTGCTGGGTAAAACAGGTTAACGCCCCCTTTTGAATCAGTCTGAGACTGCGTCTGCTCGGTCATTAGCTCAAAGCTAACCCTTCGACGAAGAAGATGGCGAAAAGAAAAAAAGACGACGAGTATCGTACATTTCAGGACGAATGGACCGAAGAATTCGCCTTTGTGGAGAGAGCGGGTTCTGCGGTGTGTCTAATTTGCAATGACAACATTACATCGTTGAAACGGTCGAATGTAAAGCGGCACTTCGACACGCGCCACGCTACCTTTGCATCAAAATACCCTGCGGGAGACAGCAGAAAGAAAGCGTGCCAAGAGCTTCTGAGCAGGGTGCAAGCTAGCCAGCAGCAACTCCGCGTATGGACCCGGCAAGGTGACTATAATTCGGCTATCTTTGCTGGTTCTTTAGCAATAGTGAGGAACGGAAAACCATTCACAGATGGCGAGTATGCTAAAACGTTCATGCTGGATGTAGCCAATGAACTTTTTGATGATCTTCCGAACAAAGACAAGATAATCAAACGGATACAAGACATGCCTCTGTCGGCAAGAACTGTTCATGATCGTACCATCGTGATGGCAAACAAAGTGGAGGAAACGCAAGTGAAGGACATAAATGCAGCGCCGTTCTTTTCTCTGGCTTTGGATGAGTCAACAGACGTGAGCCATTTGTCGCAGTTCAGCGTGATTGCAAGATATGCTGTTGGTGACACACTGCGCGAAGAAAGTCTTGCTGTTCTGCCATTAAAAGGGTCCACAAGAGGTGAGGATTTATTCAAGTCTTTCATGGAGTTTGCTCAAGAAAAAAGTCTACCTATGGATAAACTTCTGTCAGTGTGTACTGATGGTGCTCCGTGTATGGTGGGGAAAAACAAAGGATTTGTGGCGCTTCTCCGTGAACATGAAAATAGACCCATCCTAAGTTTCCATTGCATTATACACCAGGAGGCACTTTGTGCTCAGATGTGTGACAGGCAGTTTGGCGAAGTGATGTCGCTGGTCATTCGTGTGATCAACTTTATTGTTGCCCGAGCCTTAAATGATCGCCA